TCAGCTAAATAACGATAATTATCTAATAAACGTGTATGATCATCATTCTCATATGAATTAAATGCTAAACTAGTTGCCATTTTATATTTTATTCTTCTAAAGTAAGAACGACTATTATTTGAAAGTATTTAAATACTAAAGAAATCTTACCTTTACTCAACTTTCTTTTACTTGTCAAATTATTATTACGTTAAATCAAAATATTAAATAGTAAAAATCATACTTTTTTATTTTTTCATATGTTTATCATTAATTTTTTCTTGTTCACACATTCTCTCTCTCTTTCTCTCTTTTTTTATCTTTTATTCAACAGACTAAGTACACGGACATGTCATTCTATAGGATAGACATAGACATATTTGACGTTTTTTTTTCTCTCTGATAGTTTATTTCTTTGTTATCTAACGTAGGAGTTTGTCATGATATTTGGAAAACATTTTTTCCTATTTTTAAATATTTTAATCATGTTTCTTCAATACATTATTTTCTCAGTCATGATTTTCCTTGTTGATCATGTGTTTTCTCTACTTTCAGCACATGATAAAGATTGATTATTTATAGAAATACTATGCAATCTTTTTATTACGTCTTTTATTCAATATCATAAATTATATACAAGATCATAACTAAAACATTCTTCAAAGATTTCAATTAATTAATACATTTCATACAATGGATGTCACTTTATTTTAACAAGAAATTAAATAGAAAAACACTTATTATTCTAATCAGAAAGCATATAGAATGTGACATCTGTTCTGTCACTGTTACTATTTAATCATCTATTACATAGTACAATGCGTCTCATTAAAACAATCAGAACAGAAACTTTGATTTTTCTTTGTTGTTCCATGATTGTCTTCTAGTTTTTTTTTCAAAGCAGCGAATATAACATCTATGGATATTGCACAAAGATTGTTGCTTTTCTTCGAACTATAGATTTTAGATTCTCAAATAATCTATCAACGAGTAAATGTTGTACAAAACTTAATGAAATGATACCATGCTCATATAAGTTCCGTTTAATTTCAAATTAGTATATCTACTCAATTATCAGTAACTTGTTTATTGGAACTCAAAGGCTTAAAGTGCATTTTATAAAATCACCATCGACACAGTTTACTTCACTGAGTGAGCTCTCGTTCTCTTTTGCATCAGTTTATTCCAATGACTTATGAACCATACTGGAACTCCTGTTACTCCCATATATAAAAGGAGAGCGAGAGGGATAAGGCTAGACATCTCGTTGTCTTATCTTGTATATTCTATCTGTAACATATAGTAGAACACGAAACTAACGTGAGAGGTCGTGTACATGACCATCAGAAATAACTATTTGTGTGGTGATATAAGGAAGAAAATGAAAAGGTTACTGGGAACATTTCTTAAATATTAATTCGTCATAGATATACAGATCTCAAAGAAGTTTTCTAAGAAAACTAAATCATGACGAATATGTTAAGGATAATTATCTGTACAGTATTATGTTTGAGTATTTATTATCGAAAATTTATTTTAAATATAAATAATTAGTTGAGAAAAATTATTTCGATTTTTGAAGAATTTATGATTTAATTTCCTAAAAAAAATTCCTAAATATGAAATATAATTCAGATTTCAAATTTATTTGGATAAATATATGTTCTACTAGTATAATAACCATATGATTTATCTAATTTCATTAATTAATTTCTTTGAAATAAGAAAAAAAGAAGAAATTATATTCCTAGTAGTACTAGAATGGTTAACTAATAAAAATAAATCTCTATTCTATATCTAATATTGTTGATATAGAAATGATTTCTTTTTTCTCTAATATATGCAAATATTTTCGTCAAGGGATAAAACCTATTGTAATTGAGAACTAATTGATTTTCATTTGGTTCCAATAGTTAATTGTAATAGTTATTGGAAGATGAATAATGAAAAAAGTATTATCAAGTGTTCTTATTGCTAATTCACAATTCTCATCGATAAACAATTTTCCACAAAAAAGAAAAGATAATAACAAATTTTCTATGGCTTATCATTCCGTTTTTATTAGAATTTTATAAAGAATCCCAGATGAAAACGAGATTGGAATTTTAAATAGAACTATCATAAAATAGAACCACAATTGGTATGAACTTTACCAATGTTTTATATTTTTTTAGGAAACTGTTTACTAAATGATTATAGAGTTTTAACTCTATTCTGCCATATCTTGTTTTTCTAGTAGATTATGTGTAGAGAAGCTCGAAAAATTTTCTGGTAGATATAGAATCGACATAAGTTGTCACTATATATCAATGTAATATTATCCAGACGATTTTGTAAGGAAAAAAGAATCTATCGTTGAAAAATGTCATTGCCTTCATTGAATATTACATAAATAAAGAATAATATCAATTGAGAATGAGAATAAAGGTTATTGGAATATTTTCAATAAGTTTAAGTGATAATTAGAATAGTTGTCAATAAAATAAATGAAATTATTTAATTATACAATAAAATGTCTATTCCGGTTTTTTTGTTTTGATCCATTTGAGAAATTGAAAAATTTCAAAGATTGATATCAATCAAATAAAATTCTATGAATTCATATAGTTTGTAGGAGAATAATCAATCAAAACATAGATGTCTCGTTAAATAAATTAAATATTAATTGCTAATTATAAGAAAATAAAATCTATACGTCAATGATTTACTTGATCAATCTCTATTGAATTTTATAGAAGAATAAAAATAAAAACAAAAGAGGTGACTCATTTTTTCATTGACGACGAGGTATTTATCTTACTGAAAATTTCTCTATATTACATTTCTAATATACAGTATTTCTTTTGACCGAGAAATAACGTATTATTGTCTTTTGTATTTGTTGTTTATGTTCTATGTAATTTACTTATAATAGAAAACATAAATAAAATATCTGTCTTCATTATCAATCTTCTCTTGTATTACACGCGTTATGCAAATAGAAAAATAACTACGACTTTTTGTTATTAGCTATTCAATAGAGAAATAAAGATTTCGAAGAAAAAAAAAATTAAAATTGTAATTTTAATAAGTTTAGTTTTATTTTATTTAAATTTTTTTGATTAATCATTTGATTAGTAATTGTCAAAAAAGATAAATTGTAAATGCTTATTTTTATTATTTGTGGTAAATAAATAGTGTATACAACGTGCTTTTATATTCCCTGTCGAGAATAGAAAGAAAAGAGAGAAAAAAACAGTATTTTTTTCTTTTTTTTCTTTCTATCTTCAAGCCAAAATAGACGGAGGTTGGTTACAGCTTAAATGTATCGTGTCTCTCTACGACGAAATATGGCAAGGCCAAAGAACAAAAAAATAGAGTAGAAGAAAAACGACATCGTTTACTAGATAAGTTTGGTTTTATTAGTTTTGTCCTTCCTTTTTCGATTATTAATAGTAGGTTTTCTTAAATATTTTATTTCTTAATTCTTACTTAATAAATTTCTTGTTTATTAGAAAATCAAACAATGAGTAATCAATTACATACATCAGGAGGCATAGATAGTCTTGTTAAACATACAGCCGAAATGGTCGACATGACTTTAACGTCAAGTACGTATACATATTATTCCTAACGGCTAATTTACAATTCAATAAGATAATTATCGAGAGAGACTTATTTAAAATAAATGAATCATCGATAGAATAATAATAAGAATATCATATTTCATAAACATTTGTTCGTTTTTTTTGTTTCATTAAAAATATTTGTATTGTAAATTTTCAGGCAATGCAAATCAACGACATGTAGAATATTTACCTTATCCTGATTGGAATTTTGTTGAAGAACTTGATACACCTTGTCAAGGTATTGTTAAAAAGAAAAGCTAATATTATTTAATATTGATCTTGTTCAAAACTAGATGATCAATGTCCATTGGATCAAGTTTATACTAGACGAAATAAAACATTTGTACGTGGATTACCAGTTGAAGTTACTAAAATTGAAGCAGAACGAGTATATAATCCTGTTACTGAATTTTTATATCCATATTTGTAAGTATTTTGATTTAGAAATAAATTTGAAAACAAAAAGAAATGAATTTCAATTTAGATATACAATAACAGTTCGTCATGGCCCCCAATATGAATGGACAATAATGAAACGTTATAAACATTTTCATGATCTTCATAAATCTCTTGTTCGTTATGTTGAAACTGAAACTGGACGATCGATGAGTAGTTTAAATAAGTAAGAAAGATTTTCTTAAAATATATTTTGTTTTTATTTGTCCTATTTTTAATTTGAAAAGAAGTCAATTATCCGAAGTAATAACACATCAAGATGAAAATCAATCATTAATTAAAAAACAAGATGATCAACCATGTTTTCCAACTCATAATGATCGAATTGCATTTATTAATGAATCATCAGTTAGTGAACGATGTGTAAGTTCACATTTTTCGTTTATTTATTTTTAATTGAGAATTTAATTTTATAGAAATCTTTACAAAATTATTTAAATAAAGTTTTAAAACATCCAAAATTTCGTGAACAAATTGCTGTGGTAAGAAAAAGAAAGAAAGAAATTAAGAAAATATTTAATATTTGTATTTAAATTAGAGAGAATTTTTTGAAGTGAGTCCATTATCATTTGTACATGGTTTAGGAAAAAGTGTAAAAGAAGGTGCTATTGCCAAACGATCCAATGATGATTTTCGTGGTCGATCAATATTTCTTCGTGCTCCATTTATGTGTGATAAATGTAAATTTCATCATGGACAAAAATGGTTTGTCCTTAAAGATTCCTATATGGTTTATATGAATCCTGATTCAGCTTTAGTTGGATTTCCAATGCTTATTGATCGAACATTTTCTCTTGAACAAGGTTTTAGAAAAACTGGAACAAATAATGGTATTCGAATTAAAAATTTACAACGTTCAATGATTATTAAATTTGAAAAAGATGATGAAAGAGATGCTTGGTTTAATTTATTAAATAATGTTAAAAATAATTGTTCACTTATTGAACAACATCCTTTTAATTCATTTGCACCTAAAAGACAACGACAATATGGTCAATGGTTTGTTAATGGTCAATCATATATGGAAGCAGTTGCGAAAGGAATATTAGCAGCAAAAGAAGAAATATTTATAACTGATTGGTGGCTTTCACCTGAAATATCATTAATTCGGCCATTTGGTGATGATTCAATGCGTCTCGATAATTTACTTGGAAAACGAGCTGTAAGTTATTTTGTTTATATAAAAAAATATTTATAAATTGATATGAATATTATAGGAAGAAGGTATTCGTGTTTATATAATGGTATTTAAAGATATTGTACAAGTTGTTGGTTTAAATAGTTGGCATACAAAAGCAAAACTAGTTGCTAAAAGTCCAACGAAAAAAAATATCAAAGTTATTCGACATCCGGATCATCGAGTTTTACCCGGAACTGAATCATCATTTCTTTATTCTCATCATGAAAAAACTGTTGTTATTGATCAAAGAATTGCTTTTATTGGTGGAATTGATCTTTGTTGGGGAAGATGGGATACAGATAGTCACAGGTTCAGAATTATTTTTATCTTCTATTTCATTTCTCTTGTTTTGTTTAGATTAATTGATTTAAGTGATGAAAATGTAACAGAATTAAAACTTCCAGAACAAATTGCAAGAGAAGCTGAAGAAGAAGCACATAAACAAGAAGCAGCTGTTGAAACTACGGAAAAAATGGCAGATAATTCGAACAATACAAATATAGTTAGTATTATTATCTTCAAAGAAGAATTCTTTTTTAATTTTAACTATTTCGAAGTATAAAAAATGAATTCTTTTTTTCTCAAATAAGAAAATTAATTTTTGAAATGGATTTATTTTATTTTCTAAAAAAAATGTTGTTAATAGAAATTGAATGTATTCTATGTTAAGGATAAGAAAATGAAAGACTTTCGGAGTGTTAAGATATTCCCCATTATGTTTTATTAATGTCAACTAGATATCGTGACAAATAGAAAAAATTACACTCATTTTATTTTTATTACATTTAGAAGAAAAAAATAAATAATAATTCTCATTAAAAAATTCATATTTTACAATAATTAAATGTGAATACTTAATAAAAATGTGCCTTAGTATCTCTTCGCTAATTGTAATAACATCAGATTAGTACAGAATACATGTAAAAAATGAATCTAATATTATTAGAATAAGTATACGATAATTTAAACTCATCAATATAATTACTCGGAGCTATTTTTATACATGTGTTATCATAGAATGACACTAACGAATTTCTGTAATTTTATTTCTCATTCTATTTGATTTGTTCTATAGAATTCTTCATCAAACATCACAGCACCATTACTTAATTCAACTAAATCAAATGAAAAAGAAAAAGATACATCATTAAAATCAAATAAAATTTCAAGTAATATTCTTTAATTTTTTTTTTGAAATGATTTTATATTTTTAATTAAAATAGGTGTTGATGCTGCAGCAGCAAGATTATCAGGTAAAATAATTTATTTTTGATTTAATTTTCAAAGAAAATCTTTTTGTTTAATTTAGCTGTAACTGATTTTAAAACTGAATTAAATGAAGATGAAAAGAAAATTTTAGCTGAAGAAGATCAAGCTGTACAAGAATCTGTTCAATATAAAAAAAAATGGAGAAAAATGCTTAAAGTAATTCATTGAATAATTATGATAAATAAATAAAATGTTTTCATTTAATTTTTTGCAGAGACATCGAAAAAAAAGTCAAAATGATGATTCATTCGATGAAGATGAAGAGATTCCTATGGAACCAATTGATGAAAAACCTAAAACAATCATTGGTATAACACCAGTTGCTGATGATAAATGTCGATATTTTATGGGTAAAGATTATTCAAATTCTTATGAAAAAGATTTTGAATTTATTGAAAAATTTGATGAAGGTGAGATTTTCAAAATAAAATTATTTTATTTTATTATTGAAATTTGTATATTTAAAAAAGATTATATTGATCGAAAAGCTTCACCACGAATGCCATGGCATGATGAAGCATTGGTTGTTTCAGGTGAAGCAGCAAGAGATTGTGCAAGACATTTTATTCAACGATGGAATATTCATAAAGTTAGTTTTTCAATTTTCTATTCTACAAATTTGGTTTTTATTTAAAAATAGGCGGATAAATTTCGTTTTGTTGATTCATATCCATATCTTCTTCCCAAGAGTTATAATGATAATGAATTATTAGATTATTCAATGTTAACATCAATTCTTGGAGAAGAACGAAAACCAATTTGTATTGATGCACAATGTGTTCGTTCAGTTTCATTTTGGTCATGTGGTACACGTACTGTTGAACATTCAATACAAAATGCTTATATTCATATGATTGATAGTGCACAACATTTTATTTATATTGAAGTAAAATAATTTGATTTGAAAAACAAAAAAAATATTTTTCTAATAATTTAGAATCAATTTTTTGTTTCGATTGCAAATGATGCAACAATTAAAAATAATATTGGTGATGCACTTTATCGTCGAATTATTCGTGCTAGTATAAATAAAGAAAAATTTCGAGTTTATATTGTTGTACCATTATTACCGGGATTTTCTAATGCGAATGCTGTTCAAGCTGTTCTTTATTTTATTATGAGATCAATTAATAAAGGAGAAACATCACTTTATCAAAGATTAAGACAAAGTGGTATGTTTATTTTATTTAAAGATTTCGAAGACATATTTATTTTATTTCAAATAGGTGTAAATAATCCAGAAGATTATATAACATTTTATGGTATGCGTAATTGGGATATCTTAATGGGTTCATTAGTAAGTAGATTCAATTTTTATAAAACAAATAAAAAATAAATTCTTCTGTAAAAAAAAGGTCACAGAAATCATTTATGTTCATTCAAAATTAATGATTGTTGATGATCGTATGTGTATCTGTGGATCAGCCAATATAAATGATCGATCACTTCAAGGTTCACGTGATTCAGAATTTTGTTTAGTTGTTAGTGATACTGAAATGATTGATTCGAAATTAAATGGTCAAACACAAAAAGTTGGAACTTTTTCTTCAACATGGCGAAAGAAATTATTCAGGTTTGATTTGATTTGAAATATTTTTAAAGGTTAATTTTTTCATTTTAGACAACTTTTGGGTATTAAAAAGGAAGAAGATATGAATGTTGATGATCCCTGTTCTGATGAATTTTATAATTATTTCCGTGACACAGCAAAAAACAATGCACAAATTTATGAAGAAGTTTTTAATACATTACCAACAAATCGTGTTAGAGAATTTGCTCAAGTTGAATCATATGTTGGCCGACCAAAATTAAAACAAACTGATCCATTATCTGTAATAATTGAATTTTTTATATAAAAAATATATTTTGTTTTATTTATTTTGTTCAGGCACATGAAAAATGCAAACAAATCCAAGGTTTTATTGTTGAATTTCCATTAGAATTTTTAGCTGATGATGTTTTAATGCCTAAATGGAATACATCAGAAGGTTAATTGAAATTTTATTTTTGAAAGAAAAGTTTATTTCTTTTTTTATTTTTAGGTATGGCTCCGATTCTTTTATGGACATAAAAATTCAATTGGAAATTTTGTTAAACTATTTTCTATAGAATAAAAAAAGCTTTGCTTAGTTTTTTTTTTGTTAAAAAACAAAATAACTATCTGTTATATTAGCTATTTGCTTTCATTTTCTGCTCTGTAAAATGTATTCTTTCTTTTTTTACGTCAATTCTTCAAACGAATGCATTTATAGATGCTTCGTATATTATTATTACTATTATTATTAGAAATTAATAAACTAGAACACAATTATTTTATATTAATTCAATAAATATTATCTTATGACACTAAACTAATTCTTTGAATATATTATCAAATGAAAAACTATTCAATAACAATCTTATCTGGACTTTGTATGACATTTAGAAATACTGCTGATTGATATCTCGTTTGAGTAATGCGTCAATAGAGACGTTTTTCAAAGAAACTTCTCATATTAATTCAGTAAGATAGAAATATCAAACATTTGTCAATGGAATAAGATAAATAAATTACAATTTGCTGGATCCATTAAATAAAGAATCACTAGCTGAGGCGATTTCTAAGATAATGAAGAATATTTGAGAAGAAGAATTTCAAAAGAGTTTTGTCAAATTGTTAGAAAAAATAATAATATGCTCACTATTTTGAATACATTAATAAAAAATCAAATATTTTACATTTTTATTTACGATTTTCAGAAGTTTTGTTCAGTTGTGAATCTTCTAGAGTTTAATCTGAACGAATATTAGAATTAAATCCAAGATAGAGTAGATATTTTACTATGTGCTAATGTATTGAAACTTTCAAAATTAAATGTTTTATAAAATGAAAAATATCGTGACTAGAACTGTTGATATATCTTAAGCAAAATATATTTATAATAGAAGTAGGACACAATATTCTCTATCATCGTTTAATACGTGTACTAGTGACATTTTAAATAATTAAGGAAAAATAAAGTATTAACGGAAATTTAAGTATTGATAGATAAATATCTCATATGATTTTATCAATGTCAATTTCTATTCTACTTTCTTCTATTTCATATTGTATAGAACAAATTTATTATATTATAACGGATAGTATAAAAATCTATTATTTTATTGCTAACTATGATTATTAGAATTAAAGAAAGTTTATCTTCAATTTTATTTTCATCTATTTATTTAAGAATTTTTATGAAAACAAGAATAATATACCGAAAATTTCTTTTTTATTAAAATGAACAAGAACATTTTCTTGGATTTACATAAGAATCAATCAAATTTTCGAATAATATTTAATTATCTACGAACAATTTTTATTAAACATTTCTATGTTAAGAAATATTAACGAAATAAAAAAGTTCATCTTTCAACAACTCTTTACGATTTTGATGTTTTGCTTCATAATGTATGTTTTTGTTTTTCTATGTAACCTTTTAAAAACAAAAACATGCTTATTTATACTGTTTAAAAGATCAATCAATCACTTCTTCTATTTTCTCTGTCACATGGAAATATACCAGACACAAACATTTTCTTTTCTTCTTTTCGATAAATTATTTTGCAAAATATAAATACAACATTATATTCTGTCCTGTTTTCTAAAAGATAACTTTGTATCATTTATTCATATACAATAACAAATAGCACAATAGAAAATGCCAGTATTCTTTTATTCCATTTAATGAATTAAATTCGATAATTGTGAAATTATGTAAAAAAATACAAAAAAAAAATGATTCGAACAAAAGAAAAGAAAAAAGAAAAGAAAATGCAAAACAAAATTGAAACATGAAAAAACTGTCAGATGCAGCAAAATGATGAAATTTAAAACGCCTTCATAGCTATGATACGCCTACATTACTGAAGTTTATTTTGCTTTTTTTTTCTCATAAATGGTAATCGAACATTTCAATTTTATATATATATCAAATTCATCTTATTTCATAATTCAATTTTTCTTCTTACATTATTCTATCAACAACTGTATATTCACCTTTAACTGATAAAATTAATTGTTTTTTCAGCTGATAACTACAAAAATATGGAGTTAATGCCTTATAGTCGACAACCAGTAGGGGTAATGTCCTATAGTCCACAACAAGTAGAGGTAATGTCCTATAGTCCACAGCAAGTGGAGATGATGCCATATAGTCGACAATCAACATCTCCTGTTGTCCTTGACATAGAAGATAAAAGAACAGGTCGAATAAGACCACGGTATGTATATCAACAACTTTTTGTTTTCATTTTGTTTTTTTTAATTCAATTTTCTTGTAATTACAGTAGGAGATGCTATTGGAGATGTTGTCTTTTAGCAACTTTATTAGGTGGATTGTTAGCTGGTCTTATAGCTGCTGCTATAGTTCTTCCAGTTCTATCTGCTGCTCTTACAAGTTTGTTAAATAAATTTAAAATGAATACATAAATATTATTTTAAAATATATTTTTGATAGCATCAACAACTACAACATCAACTTCTACGACCACTAGTGTCACTACTGTTACCACTGTTACAACTTCCACTACAAGTACTACCACCACTACTACTACTACCACGACTACTACCACTACAACAACTACTACCACTACCTCCACAACTACTACTACGACCTCTACTACCACGACTACTAGTTATACAACAACTTCAACAAGTGCCACACCTATGCCAGGATGATCAAAACGTCCTCGGAACATTCCTATTTTTATTGAATAATTCATGTTTATAAAAAAAACTAATCACATTAAATGTTTGTAGTACTCACTCTGATTTGTTATGCAGAGTTTCATTCGATTAATTCATTTTTGAAAAGTCTTTCGAAATTCATCTTGTGATATTGCATGAAGTTTCTTTCTGACAGCCTGTTGTAATGATTTTGTGAGAGTAACTAGTAAGCTGTCGTTTCAAATAGCCAAAAATCTGACTGAGCCAGACCAGGAGAATACGGTAGATGATGCATTACCATTACTCCTTGTTCTTAAAGAAATGTTTTGATGTCATTTGTTTGATGGGATGTTGTGTTGTCATGATGCAACTTGATATCACGTGCATCAGAATAGCACTTTCATTCTCAATTTTTCATGAATAATATTCAACGATAGAAATCAAAAGCCATTTCGAGAACTTTTAGATGACCCTATGTAATATTCTAATTAAAATTGATAAGATTAATTTTAATTTGTTATAATTTTTATAACATAATTAAAACAATTATATCTACTTCTTTTTCATCATCAAATTCAAATTATTTATCAACAATACTTTAGATTCAATAACTTAAGAAAAATATTCTATTGTTCTGATATTATTCAAATAACACTTATAAATAATACTATCTCGTTATTGTAATGAAGTTACTCGATAAGGTAATAAATCCTATCTATAAATAACCGAGATTACAACTTCAAATAATGTATTTTACAAATGGAATAAGAATAGATTTAATTAAATAGAAATCATTATTAAAAACACATTGTAGACTTTACGATATATTTGATCTTATTGTACTATCGACATGTTACATTTTTTTTCTTGTACAATTTATCTCGATTAATTTGAAGTTCTTTGTGTTTTTTTCAAAAATAATGATATTGATAAATGATTATACATTATATATCAAAAATATTTTTATTTCACAGGTAATTGAAGTGTAGATGATGAGTCGATTAGAAAAAGTCTTTACGCAAGTTTTCATTAGACCGATCTGTCTATTTTTTACTAAAATTCAATTTGAGAATCTGATCATTTCAATAAAATCAAAGTTTCACATTTTGGTTTGAAATTTTGCCAAGATAAAAACTCATAATAGACTAATTTTTAAGATCATACTATAAAATTCTTAAAAAATCTTCTCATTCGATATAACATTAGTAGAAGACGATAAGAAATTTTATGTGATATCTGTTTTTCTAATTTTTACATAAAATTATCTTTAAATTATGAATTTTTCAAAATATTTCTATAAATGCATCTTTGTGCTAGCATACTAATATGTTAATAACGATTCGTTCGAAAACTTTGATTTTATTCAAAATATAAAATAATCGAGAAGAATTATAATAAAAAGTTCATATCTTTGTGAAAATGTAGCTTGCGCGAATACAATCTTAGAATTTTTCTAGTTGATTCATTTTTTACTTTTAGCTAACTTTAAGATGAAAATGTTTTTAATATCTTAGAAGATATTACTATAAATGTAAATAAAATAGAAGAATTTATCTATTTTTTCTGGTGAAAACCTATTATTGATTACATTATCATTCATTATTTGATAATTGTTAGTTTATTAGTAGCTATGATTTAACACAGTAATATTAATGGTTTCATCTTTTAAGAAAATTTATTTTTAATAATTTATATAGCTTCAGCTAGCACAAAAACAAATAGTTTCAAATACATCAACAGGCCATGCTAGTGTTTTGTTATTTCATTTAATAGATTATGTCTAACTAATGTAAAAAGGTTACAATAACAATTAGAAAAAAATCCATTTGAAGAAACGAAAAGAAAAAAATACAAAACAAAATTGAAAAATGAAAAAAATGGCCATAATAAGTGAAATGATGAAATATAAAATGCTCTAACAGCTATGAGACGCCTACATCGCCGAAGTTTATTTTCTTTTCTTGTTCTCATAAATGTTAATCTACAGTTTGAATTTATATATATATATATATGCCAAATTCATCTTATTTCATATTTCAATTTTTCTTGTTGCCTTTTTCTGTCAACAATTATATATTCATCTTCAACTAATAAATAGAAAAGAAAAATGCAGTTAATGTCCTATAGTCCACAACAAGTGGAGTTAATCTCAAATAGTCGACAACAAAGGGAGATGATGCCATATAGTCGACAATCAGACTCCCCTATTATCCTTAATATAGAAGATAAAAGAACAGGTCAAATAAGATCATCGTATGTATATCAACAAATTTTTTCTTTCTCTTTAATTGAATTTTCTTATAATTATACTAGGATATGCGGTTTCAGATGTTGTCTTTTATCAACTTTACTTTTTGGTTTCTTAGGTGCTCTTATAGCAGCTGCTATAATTCTTCCAGTTTTATCTGTTGTTCTTACAAGTTTGTTAAATAAATTAAAAATAAATAAATAAATAAATATCATTTTAAAATATATTTCTGATAGCAACAACAACTACAACAACATCCTCTACCTCATCTACCTCGACTACTACCACTACCACTACAACAACTACTACCACTACTACCACTACAACTACTGTCACCACTACTACCACTACCACCACTACTACTACTACTACCACGACTACCACTACCACGACTACTACAACTACTGTAACTACAACAACTACTACTAGAACCACAAGTACATCAAGTACAACAAGTACAGCAACTACTACAACAATGGTTGGATGATCAAAAAGTGCTCGGATCATTCGTGTTTGTATTGAATAATTCATGTTTACAAAAAAAAACTAATCACATTAAATGTTCAAATTACTCGCTCTGATTTTTTAAGCAGAGTCTTATTCGATTAATCCATTTTTGAAAGGCCTTTCGAAATTCATCTTGTACTATTGCATAAAGTTTCTTTGTGAAAGCTTATTGTGTTACATTTGTTTTTCTTGTACAATTTATCTCGATTAATTTGAAGTTCTTTGTGTTTTTTTCAAAAATAATGATATTGATAAATGATTACATTATATAGAAAAAATATTTTTATTTCACACTTTCTATTATTTTTAAAGTACTATAATACTATTCGAAACCAACGAACGATTTTAATTCGACTTAATTTGAATCGATGCTAATTTGAAAAGGGTGTGGATGTAGATGTGGCTTTAAAGAAGGGACACTCACATCCTTCAGATAGTTCGACCGGTATAGCACATAGCTTTCATTGAAATACATGGAAAACACATCTATGATTCTTCTTTTGTTAGCTGTAACAAAGATCATTTGATGAAAGATGTCAGTGCGATATTGACTATAAGTGAAATTTTTATTGATAATTAGCTGATGTCGGAATATATTATTCAATCATGAAAATTTAATTTATTCAAGTAACAACTGATTAGCTCGGGGACACTTTTTCAATGTTATCTATTGTCGATTTTAGTTTCGTTGCAAGACTAAGCTCAATTATATCTTTAACATCTCAGAATAGACGCATTTAATTAATAATGAGCAGACGATAATAAAAACAAACGATAAATATATATGAAACAGAAAGAAACACGATTGCGAACAAAACTAATACAGCAATGATATGACACATGCCTTATTCGTAATTTCTACTCACTTTGAAAAAGAGGGAATATTTTTTGTCAATACGTCATTAAACGTGTTTATTCGGATGAAACTAATTAACTTTCTTTGCGATGATTTATAGGTGTATTAGTCGACTATGAATCAAACAAAAACGTACACTTTTATATTGAATCAAAATTTTGCTTGGTAAGTACAATATAATATCATCATTACTTTTTGATCGCACAGCAAAATAATTTTTTATTTTACCTGTTTCAATTTTTCAAACAAATTGTACTTTTTAATATTGTTCAGGAACATCAATATAGAATATATCGACACACTTCGGTTACCTGGTTCGAATATATTCTTCACGATGTTTCCCCCGTTTTTTTTGTCTAACAAAAAATAAAGAGCTGTATTTTTATAATTAGAATATGACTGAAACTTTTAAAGGAATAGTTAAATAATAGAAAATTCATTATTAAAAAGAATTTACAGAAGTAAAAAAGATTCTATTAAAAATATTTAAAAAATGCTCGTTGTCTGAACAATAATAGGTGGATCATAGTGCATACCGATTTAATTGATTGAGAATATTGTTTTCATTATTTAATACAGTACTAAATCACTACGTTGAATAGTTTTTATAGATAAATATGCACTACAGTTTTTTGTATAAAATAATATCATACATTAGAGAAAATCATTCTAGTTAAATTTAAACAACTATTCGTATACGAAAGAATAAATAATTTTTTATTGTTGAACTTCAAAATACTTTATAATTATTTCTATTATTTGATAAATACGTAACACAATAGTCGATCAAACATTATATGTGTTGAAAGTTGTCATTTGGTACTTAATTCGCGTTAAAATGAGAAAAACACGAGCTACCTGCTAATTAAAATTTGTAAGAAGAAAATGGTCTATGAGGCAATATACCTGTACCTGTTTTATAATAGACATCAGATAATGTTAATATGAACCCTTTCTCTTATGAAGATACATAATTTGCACTCCTATAGTCTAGATATTATTTAATAGAAAAATGAATTGTATAATGCATTTGAATTCGTTTAGAATTGAATGAAATCTTCGTTAGATATTCAGTTGTTCCTGAAAAATACGATAGTTGTAGGTCTGTCATCGATACTCGCTGTCTAATCCCTTCAATTTGAGAACATAGTTATTTATTTTCGTAATTCTTTTACAGTATCTCTGATTCATAATGATGTAGCATTTAGTACTAAATCTTGTTACTTCAGGATAACAATCTTATCAATTTCTCATCAATGTAAGTCACAAATCGTTTCTTCAATATTTTCTCCTTAGACACATCAAAGAACATTGGATACTAGTGAACATACATTATTAAATTAAGAGAGCATTTTTTATTTATTTATATACTTTCCAAATATACATTTTTTGTCAAATTTTAGAATAAAAAGATAAAACTAATTATAATTTCATGACTGAAGACGAATACAACATTACTCTTACACGTGGATTTTGGCATGCAGAAAACGTTAAAAACGAACATTATTATTTAGAATCTTCTCCGGAAGTTGATCAAGTTTATACAATCGAGATCGAACAGAAGTTCAACACTGGATTAAACGAGAAAACATGGATATATTATGAAGGCGTAAATAAATACTTCAATGGTATTGATTCGATCAATGATATAGAATGTGTCAGGCTTTGTTTTGGTGAACTTCTCAAAGTACTTGAAAAGAAAGAGAAGATAACAGTGATAGAGTTTAAAGTTATTAAAACGTTGACTTTGTTTGATATGATGAAATCAATTCGTCCAATTACGTTTCCAGAACATTGGCACAATTATATTCGTAGGGGAGTTGGTGGTGCGACATTATACGTCACCAAATACGATAAATTTTTTACAATTGATTATGATTTTCAAGGTGATATACAACAAGAATATATTGGAATAGAATACGAAAATGAAATCTATATATGTATGATCAAGGAAAATTACTTTGCGAATTCAAATATGCTCTATTGTGGAAAGTATATCATTCCAGAGTATTTGAGAGAATTACTGCCACTAGCATCTCAGTAAATGATGATTCTTGTGAACAAGTTTATACTCACAATAGTTTATATAAACTATGTATGAATTTCCTAATAATTGTCCAGCTAACTCATTTTATTGTAATTTCATTAATATAAAATAAATTCTTCTCTGAGGCGGATGATTTTTCTTTTCAATATACTCATCTCATTATATGAAGAAGAGCTGAGTCTATTTGATATGTTTTGTTTCTATGATAAATAGAGTAGTACATCCGAAACTTGGGATCTAACAACATGTAAATAAAATTTTGCCAATAACTGTAGATATCGAATCAAGTTCTAAAAAGAATTATGTTTGAAAATTATTATAAAACAAAAGAATACATAAGAAATTTTCTCTGCTTAATAAATAAAAAGAAGAAATGGACATTTAGTCGATACTTTTCGGTGTATAAATCAGTTGACATCCAGATGGATTTTATTTTATCTAATTCTTTCTTTAAACAACATATGAGAGAGGAAATGTTCAATTTCTATAAAAAAAAATATGCGGAAACCTCAGATTTACATCCTAGTGTTATGTGTACGTCAAAAAGCGAAAACGGATATTCATTTTTTTTTCGCTCATATTTTATCCTCGATAGTTTATATCATACACAGCAAAACTAAAATGGGAACGAGTTTATACTGATTAGCAAGCCATTATAGTTGCATTAATCTTTGTAAAAAGAAATAAATATAATTATTCAGGAAATTACTCCCTCTTTTAACAAAAATTTACATTCAATATAAAACAAAATAATCAAACCATTAGTGATATTTGATTAGCAATAAATTTGAAAAAAATTGTCTTCCTTTAATTTATTTATAAATCTTAATTCGAGTAGGAGAAACACATAGATATCTCAATTTCTAAATAAACATTGTTTCTTTTCTCGTTTTCTTCTTGTTTTTTTCTTAAATTTAGATTTTAAAGAAAGAAAATCAATCCATCGTGAATTTCACTTTTCGAGTACATAAAAATAACGTTGGCTCTATGGAGAACAAATAAATATCACACAGACACATTGTCAACATATACGAGTTTTTTGACACTGTAATACAGAGGAAATCTTGTGCACAACTTATTTATCCCTATAATTTAGCATCATTTTGTAGCCCATAAAATTCTCTATCTAATCGTATATGATAATTGAAGTTTTATTTTGATTATGATAAATCTTTTCTTTCAAGAAAATTATAAAAAAAATAGAAAAGATCACTATTTACATAGAAAATAAGTATATTGTTTACCGTAACTCAACAAATTCTTGATAGATTGCTTTCATCTTCGAACTCTACTGAGATATTGATGAGATCATTCTATATACAAAATTTCATGACAATTCGATGAGTCTTTCGAAAGTTATCGTATAAACGGCCGAACAGACACACTGATCGATTCTAGAGTGTACTCGTTTTCTTTTCTTGTTCTAGATTAATCTTTTTTCAGAATATAAAACCATAACATTATATTTTGCTTTTTTTTCTATGAACTAATCGTCTATCGTGTATTAATATACAACAAAAACTAGTTAGAACAAAAACAAATAGTTTCAAATACATCAACACGGCATGTTATTGTTTTATTATTTCATTTAATAAATTATATTCAACTATTGCGAAATAACATAAAAACTAGAAAAATCCATTTGCAGAAAAGAAAAAATACAAAATAAAGCTTAAACATGACAAAGCTGTCATAATGATTAAACTGATGAAAAATAAAACACTTTAGACACCTATGATACGCCTACATTGCTGAATTTTCTTTGTTTGTTTTTTTGTTCTCATAAATGGTAATCGAAAATTTCAATTTTTATATATATACCAAATTCATCTTATTTTATAATTCTCTTTTTCTTGCGACATTATTCGATCAGCAACTATATATTCATCTGAGGCTAATAAAATACAAAGACAAGTGAATTGATTTTGTTCAATTAGTAAATACAAAAGAAAAATGCAGTTAATGTCCTATAGTCCACAACAAGTGGAGTTAATGTCCTACAGTCCACAACAAGTGGAGATGATGCCATATAGTCGTCAATCAGAATCTCCTGTTATCCTTAATATAGAAGATAAAAGAACAGGTCAATACAGAAGATCATCGTATGTATATCAACAAGTTTTTCTTTCTCTTTAATTGAATTTTCTTATAATTATACTAGGATTTGCGGTTTCAGATGTTGTCTTTTATCAACCTTACTTTTTGGTTTCTTAGGTGCTCTTATAGCAGCTGCTATAATTCTTCCAGTGCTATCTGTTGTTCTTACAAGTTTGTTAAATAAATTAAAAATAAATAAATAAATAAATATCATTTTAAAATATATTTCTGATAGCAACAACAACTACAACAACATCCTCTACCTCAACCACCTCCACCACTACTACCACTACAACTACTGTTACCACTACTACCACTACCACCACTTCTACTACTACTACCACGACTACCACTACCACGACCACTACCACCACGACTACCACTACCACGACTACTACAACTACTGAATCAACAACCACTAGTAGTACTACTAGTAGTACTAGTACTAGTACAAGTACAGCAACAGTAACTACTACTACATAATGGTTGGATGATCAAAACGTCCTTGGAACATTCCTATTTTTATTGAATAATTCATGTTTATAAAAAAAACTAATCACATTAAATGTTCGTAGTATTCATTCTGATTTGTTATGCAGAGTTTCATTCGATTAATTCATTTTTAAAAGGTCTTTCGAAATTTATCTTGTACTATTGCATAAAGTTTCTTTGTGAAAGCTTATTGTGTTACATTTTTTTTCTTGTACAATTTATCTTGACGAATTTGAACTTTTTTCTGTTTTTTTCAAAAATAATGATATTGATAAATGATTACAATATATAGGAAAATTATTTTTATTTCACAGTTAATTTAAGCATAGAGAATGATTCGATTAGAAAAAATCTTCACGCAAGTTTTCAATAGACCGATCTATCTATTTTCTACTAAAAGTCAATTTGAGAATCTCATCATTTCAATAAAATCGAAGTTTCACATTTTGGTTTGAAATTTTGCTAACATAAAAACTTGTAATAGACTAATTTGTAAGATCATACTACAAAGTTCTTGAAAAATCTTCTTATTCGATATAATATTAGTAGAAGACGATAAGTAATTTTATGGAATAATATAATCTATTTCGAAGATCATAACTCTACTTTATGTAATATTACATATACAACCAGTGTTTATATAATATCTGTTTCTCTAATATTTACATAAAATCATCTTTAAATTATGAATTTATATATAACATCATATTCTACTTTGTTTCAGTAAGTAACCTTCTCGTAGGTACTCATACACAATAAAAACTAGTTAGCACAAAAACAAATAGTTACAAATATATCAACATGACTGGTCAATGTTTTATTATTTTATTTAATGAATTATATTCAACTATTGTGAAATAACATAAAAACTAGAAAAATCAATTTGAGAAAAGGAAAAGAAAAAGGAAAAAAATTTAAAAATGACAAAGCTGTTATGATGAATAAAATGATAAAAATAAAACCTTTTGATAATTATGATACGCCTACATAACTGAATTTTCTTTGTTTGTTTTTTTGTCATATGTAATAATCTGAATTTTAAATTTGTATGTATGTATACCAAATTCATCTCATTTCATATTTCAATTTTTATGTTTATATTATTCTGTCACGAACTATAAACTTATCTTTAACTGATAAAATAAAAATAAAAATCGATTGATTTTGTTTAACTAATGAATACAAGACACATGAATTTGTCACGTTATAGTCGACAATCATCACCGCCTGTTTATACTTTTAATATAGAAGATCAAAGAACAGGCCGATCAAAACTAACGTATTTATATAAATAGTTTTTTGTTTCTTTTTTTTTAATTCTATTTTGTTATAGTTATAGGAAATGTAAAGCTTGGTGGAGATTTGTTTATTACCTACTTCAATAGGTGTTATTGTATCTGCTATTATATTAACAGCTGTTCTTGTTCCAGTTCTATTGACATATCTTCAAAATTTGTTAGATCAATAGGATAGAAATGAATATATATCTATATATCTTTGATAGCAACGACAACTACAACAACAACACCCACTACTACAACAACTACCACCACCACGACCACTACTACTACGACTACGATTACCACCACGACGACTACTACTACGACAACAACTACAACAAGTAAATATTCTAATCAAAATTAATAAGATTAATTTTAATTTTTCATAGCATAATTACAACTATTACAACAGTATTCTCAACAACAGTTACATCTAGTTCTTTTCCATCATCAAATTCAAATTATACATTAACAACAAATCATATAAAAAATGTTGGTTGTACAGTGGAAAATTATGCATCTTTTTATATTAAATGGTTAGAACATAGTATTTGTTTGTTTTTTGGTACTGTTTCAACGATTAATTGTGCTATTAGAAAAAGTTAGGAGATTGATTAAAGTCTCAAGAATTGATTGTCAATATCTTTTTTTTATCGAAAAAGAACACTGATAAATTAATCCTTAAATATATTTTAAAATTATATTTTATTTATTAAATAAAATTACTTTTTCCATCTCATATTTCTTTGAAATTCATATTGAAATTAGATTTCACTGTTATAATACAAGTCGCTCAATCTAATATTTCATACTGAGGATGTCGATGAAGAATCATTAATAGAGATAGAAGTGTAAGTCTCAACTTTCTTTTTATTTCGAATTAAAGATAAACAAAAAAATGAACGAATGTAAGATTTGTAAGGAAAGAAAGAAATTATTTCTATATTTATAGATTATTATCTATTCTAAAAGATAATCTATAATAGAAAATACATCCAATCAATTAGTTAATAAAATATTGTACTATGAAGATCTTTTTACTAACAACAAAAACTTCTTTTTTCTTAATTTTGTTTTATTTTGATGATATTACTACAAATTTCATTACCAACGAAATCTTAAAATAGATTTGATATACTTAGGAATTTATATAAAACATGTTATTTCAATAGAAAAGTATAAAAAATTCTCTTCAAATTTAGATTGAAATATTGCAAGTTGAATGAGTTCGATTCGTGATTGTGCTTTGATAAAGCTAGATATTCATTAAAAGTATTCAACTTATAAAAAAAAACTGTTTCTTAATCAATTTTTAGGAAAAAGATGGGTGTTAAATTCTAAAGAGTTTCAAACTAGTTGATAAGAAAACTTCTATCCACTTAAATACGTTCATTTGTAGCTACTCAAAGTAATTTTTTATGCATAACCGATAAAATTCTTGTTTTTTATATTAATTTATATATCTAACAAATCTCTCTGTATTTCGTTTAAATAAAACGTGACATACAAATATCTATAAGTGCACTTTACCATAACCTATTCTTTGTTGTGCAGAATTATTTTAAAGAAATTTCACTTTCACTATTTAATACCTGTTTACTCTCAAAATACAGTGCTTAAAAAATTTAATCTGATATTATCTGAATAATATTTGATATGAAAACGATTCGATATTTATTTTTCTTTCATTAATCCTGAAATAATTAAATTAATTATCAAAATATTAGAACATCTACTTTAAAAATAACAATTTTAAACTTAACAGACGATTGAGTATGATTAAAAATAGCTCGAAGCATTCAAATGGATTTTTTTCTCTTGAGTTTTATTCTGATTGATCATAAATAGAAAAAATGTTTAGTTGTACATTTATCCTAAAGCAGATTTATCTATCTGACTCATCTAGCATTTGTTATTTATCTCGTCCATATTTTTGCCAAACAAAACATGTTGATCTCAAGTATTTAGCAAAATTCAGACATGCTTTTATTTTTTTCCTTTTAAAATGAAAACAAAATGAATAAAATTTCTTTCGAATTCGATTTTTTTTATTAAGAACAACTCTCAATATGAAACATAAAACTATGAAATTATTGTCTTGGATTGAATAAAGTTTAAAAACGATTTAATTTTTCTTTTGTACAAAAATATGGTAATAATTATCTGTTCATATAATAATGAATATAAGTAATTTCGAAATATTATTTCGGAATTTTCAAATTCTATCGTTGCATCACAACAATTTTGATCCATCATTGTAGAATAAAATAAGAGAAAAGAATTAATTGACAATAAAAAGTAAACATGAGAGAAACAAAAAAGTAGAACATGAAAAGCTGTCCTCTTAAGTGAAATGAAAGAAAACATACCGCCCGTAGTACAGTCATAACACATTTACAACAATAACAGTTCTTTCGATGCCCACTCATAGAAAAAAATAATCTGAACTTTTGAATTTGTATTCATACTAAAACATTTTATTTTATATTTCACTTTTGTTTTATTCTATCAGATTTATTTCGTCTCATTTTAACGTAGAATCAATCGCTACCATTGTTCGTTTAATTATAAGATTAACTGAAGTCAACTAATTTCTTTGCAAATGATAGTTAGTCGACATTCGAGTTTCTCCCCTTATGGCAGACAAGTATCGCCCTCCTCTGCCATTATTCTTAACATTGAAGATTGTAGAACAATTCGATCAAGAAGAAAAGAGTATTTATATAAATCACTTTTTTTCATTTCTTAATTTATAGTTTGTTATAGTTATAGGAAATTGAAAATTTGGGCTAAACGTTATTTATTACCAACTGTAATAGCTACTGCTGTAGGTGCTGCTATATTAACAGCTGTTCTTGTTCCAGTTCTATTGACATATCTTCAAAGTTTGTTAAATCACCAGGATAGAAATGAATATGTATACATATATATATTTCTTTGATAGCACCAGCAACTACAACATCAACAACAACAAGCAGTACTACCGTCACCACTACAACAACTTCGACCACCACTACTACCACCACCACGAGCACTACTACTACAACTACGACTACTACGACTACTACTACTACATCGACATCAACTACCACATCGGTAACAACTACAACGACATCATCAAGTTCAACATCAGCAACAACAAGTACCACATCATCAACTTCAACATCAGCAACAACAAGTACCACATCTACAAGTTCAACATCAACAAGTTCAACATCAACAGCTACAACATCAACAGCTACAACATCAACATCAACAGCTACGACATCAACGGCTACAACATCAACGGCTACAACAACAATTGCTACAACATCAACAGTTACAATGACAACCACTGCTGTGGGGTAAATATGATTATCACAACAATACGTTCATCAATACTTCTACCGAGCTGTCTTTCATCGCAAACTTCAAATCATATAACGATAAATACTATATAAATTATATATGCACTATTTTGGATTCTTAATAGCTCCAACATAATTCTTTTATTTGTTTTAATGATGTTAGAACAGTGTTTCAAACTTATGTTTTTTTATTGCTTTGATACAACAAATTCGCTATGAAGTAATATAGTGGATTATATCAGTCAATAGTTACTAGTGCAACTCAATTCAAACGATGTTGTGTACAATAGAAATGATACTATCTGTTAATGAAAATTATGTATATGATATTTTTTATGCCATAAACATGTGTATTGCGCACTTGTGATATTTTACTTGATGAATTTGTTTCAATTATTTTTTTCTGTTGTAAATTTCTTATTCTCATAATTCATTGGTTTGTTTATTCCACAAAAAAAAAGAAAAGTTTTCTATTTTGATGTAAATATACAATTTTCATTATTGTCTTCGTGATTTGTTTACATAGATACAAATCACAGGAAGAGTAATAATAGTTTGTTTCTACATTAGATTTCTTCTAATACGATATAATCGATACATCCAAATTCACTAGGAAATAGCAATTACGTGAAAATTGTTAACGACATTTTTAATATACTGCTAAATTCTAGTAAAGTATGTTCGAATATAGAATTGTTATTTGTTTGTTTTATTTCAATCTAAATAAATTTTAAGAGACAATAGGAAAACATCGATCTATCTATCAAAGATAATAATAAATTGAGCAGAGTAAAACAATTGATAGCAGTTATTACTTATTTTTTGATAAAATATATTTTGTAATCTTTTATGCTGGATTTGAAGTATAAAGTTTTAGTTTCACTAGTATTACATATATTCTTTATTTATCTTTACTGCTATTTCTAATGGATTTATGATTATTACTCGTCGTAAGTATGGCGATGTTATTTTTCGATCAATCAGACAACTCGATAGGTTAACAATTAAATTACAAAAATGTAAACGTGATGTTGAATTTTTAAGATTCTGTCTTGTATATAATTTGACAACTACTTTTGTAAGTATTAAAATATAGAAAAAACATTTGAAAACAGTATAACAATATTTATCATTTAACAGATATTTGTTACAAGAAGAATATTATAATAGAAATAAAGATGCACACAAACATAAAAAATTAAAAGATGAATTAGTCAAATATTTTCAATCTTCGGTGAGTGATATAGATTTCATTAGAATACAGAAATGTTTGTATGAATTAGCAATTCGACAGCAAGAAAAAATAAAAAGAGCACATAAAAAAAATAGAAAAACTTAACAAAAGTTCAATAGAATAAAACTGCGAATCCGCACGTAATAGGCTTATTCATAATATATTGAGCGATACTCCTACAGAAGAAGAAGAGAGACTTTTATGTAGAGATTGAAGTTTTTATATTAAAAACAAGATTACCAATACTATTGATTTCAAAACTGATATAGGAATTAATGTATTGAACCAGAACCATATTGTCATCCGTCAGTTTTCTCAACAAAATGTTAACACTTGCATGACTATTCAAATAGATTTTGACGTAATGCTAACTATAATTTTATTCGTAATATTAGTGAGGAAGACTTTCAGGCAATAAAAATTTTGAGAGATATTAACCAAATTGTAATAAGTCGTGCAGATAAAGGTAATGTAGTGGTCATAATGAATAAAAAAGATTATTTAGGGAAAATGTAAGAAATTCTTTGATTAAGACAATTTGAACATACCCTCTAAGTTACTACTAAGTCAGAAAGAAGAAGAAATGAATAATTATCTCACCTAATTATATAAAGACAAAACCAGAAAGAAAGAACTATTCTATAGACTACGCTCTACTTCTTCACTATTTTCGTGTATGTATGGACAACTTAAAATATGTAACTTAGGCTATCCTCTTAGGCCTATTAGTTTCTCAATAGGAAGTTATAACTATGAACTTTCCAACTATCTAGCTGATCTATTGAAAGAAAGTCGATCAATTAAACCTAATTCATTCATTCGTCACTGATTCGATTTAGTAATAAAAATCATATCTAATAGAATCTAAAACAATTTCAAATACACTATTCAATAAATCATAACTTAAGAAACTACTTCAATTTTCAGTCTGTTACATATCTTTCTGTTTTATGAATGAAAACTATATACAAAACGACGGTGTAGCAATGGGTTCTCCTCTTGGACCCATACTTGTGGACATTTTTACGTCTATTTTAGAAAGAAAATTGAAACACTTTTTGAAAAATAAACCGCGTGTATGGGTAAGATATGTTGATGATATGTTTTGCATTTTCAACTCAGAACAGAGTATTACTCATTTTCTTACAAGAATAAAGAAATAGTATACTGATACAAAGTTTATAATGGAATCGGAAAAAGATAATCAAATACCATTTTTAGATATATCAATAATGAAAAATATAAACGATAATAAATATAAAACAACCATATATAAAAAATCAACAAATAGTAATTTATACCTACTCTATGAACGTAATCAATGAAGGGCATATAAATCAGGTCTTATTAAAACACTCACAATACGTCTCTTATTAATCTATTCCTCTTCAAAATACTCAGAAATCGAATTACAACAATTAAAAATAGTATTAAAGAATAATGGATATCCTGATTATCTAATACATAGACGAATTAGAGAGGATGAAATTATAACTAAAAAGACACTTAATAGACGACAAGCGCAGTCATTAGATAATACAAATCATAATAATAATAATTTACAAACAGCTATTATGAAAAAATTATTCTTAACAATATTCTTTCATGGACAAGCGTCACTAATTTTGTCAAAAAGAATAAAAATAATATGTGAAAAATTCTTATCTCATATGGAAATTAATGTTATGTCGAAAAAAGCCTTCACATTAAAAAATACTTTTCTATCCATACAAAAAGGAATTGATGAAAGTAAAAAACTGAAAAAACTAATATATCGAATCCCATATAAAAACTGTGAATCAAGTTATTATGGTGAAACAAGTTGAACAAAAAATAAAAGAATGGAAGAACATAAACATGATATCCGTAACTTAAAGATGACGCCGCATCTCACATAACATATTTTACTAACAAACCATTCATTCGATTTCGATAACGTAGAAAACTTATCGTGCAAGACTAACTGAAAAAGAAGAATAGTAAAAGAAAGTCTTTTTACATACTATAGCTATGGAAAATCATTAAATGGTGTAAAACATAAACTCCGAATATTTAGATGAATAAGCAATCACTTATTATTCAGTATTATACTATTTATTTTAACTGTTATACTTTATCGTTGTTATAGTTTATCATTATTAGCTCTTGCATAGAATTATATATGTATATTCCATTTTCTGATTTGCTATAGTTTATACTTTGTTTCTTTATTCTTTACTTTATTTTTATATCTCTACCACTACTGGTATAAAAAACTATTTTATTACTATAGTTTGAATCTTATATTCTTTCTTATTTACTGGATTTTATCTTGTATTAAATTGTATATATAGATTCCAATTTTTGCATTACTATAGTCTCTATTACACATTTTTATTCTTTACATTATTTTACTTTATATTTTAGTCTATATTATATATTGTTATTCTTTATTTCATATGTTTTTATTACTATAGTTTATACTATATATTATTTATTTTTGTTTATATTCAGCATTTTTATTGTTATAAAAAATTGTTATTTTTCTCATATTGCCTGATTGTGAAGTGCTTGTTAATGATGGGAAAAAATTTTCATCGAAAGTTTGAATAAAATAAGTCTTTAAATTTTGAAAAAATTCTATGTATTCTATAACAGTCATTTACTCTTTTATTTCTTCATGTTAATAATTGTCTATTCGTATAATAATGAATATAAGTAATTTAGAAATTTTCAGATTGTATCATTGCATCAGAATAATTTTAATCAGTCATTATAAAGTAAAATAAAATAGGAGAAAAGAATTAATTGAAAATAAAGAGTAAAAATAAAACAACAAAAAAGAAATACAACATGAAAAAGCTGTCCTCTTAAGTGAAATGAGAGAAAATATAACGCCCGGTATAGTCATGACACATTTACAACAATAACAGTTCTTTCAACGCCTACCTATAAAAAAAAATATTTTGAGTTTGTATTTATACCAAAACATTTTTTATTTTATATTTCACTTTTGTTTCATTCTATCAGATTTATTTCGTCTCATTTTAACATAGAATCAATAATCACAATTGTTCGTTTGTTTACACGATTAACTAAAGTCAACTAACTTCTTTTGAAATGATAGTTAGCCGATATTCGAATTTTTCCCCTTATGGCAGACAAGTATCACCCTCCTCTGCCATTATTCTTAACATTGAAGATTATAGAACACCTCGAACAAGAAGAAAAGAGTATTTATATAAATCATTGTTTTTTCATTTCTTAATTTGTATTTTGTTATAGTTATAGGAAATTGAAAATTTGGGCTAAACGTTATTTATTACCAACTGTAATAGCTACTGCTGTAGGTGCTGCTATATTAACAGCTGTTCTTGTTCCAGTTCTACTGACATATCTTCAAAGTTTGTTAAATCACTGGGATAGAAATGAATATATATACATATATATCTTTGATAGCACCAGCATCTACCACATCAACAACAACAAGCAGTACTACCGTCACTACTACAACAACTACGACCACTAGTACTACCACCACCACGACCACTACTACTACGACTACGACCACTACGACTACTACTACTACATCGACATCAACGACCACATCGGTAACAACAACTACGACATCATCAAGTTCAACATCAGCAACAACAACTACGACATCATCCACTTCAACATCAGCAACAACAACTACGACATCAACAAGTACGTCAACTGCTACAACATCAACAGTTTCAACATCAACAGTTTCAACATCAACACAAACAACTACACAAACTACATGATCAATCAGTCTGGTGGGATGAATATGATTATCACAACAATACGTTTATCAATACTTTTATCAAGTTCTCTTTCATCGTATATTTCTGATTATACAACAGCAATAAATACTAGAACAAAATGCTGATTGTATATCAATAAATTGTATATGCACTATTTTGGATTTTTAATAGCTCCAAGATAATTCTTTTATTTGTTTTAATGCTGTTAGAACAGTGTTTCAAGCTTATGTTTTATCATCTCTGTTATTAATAAATATAATATGAAGTAATATAGTGGACTGTATCAGTCAATAGTTACTAGTGCAATTCAATTCAGACGATGTTTTGTACAATAGAAATGATAATATCTGTTAATGAAAATTATGTATATGATATTTTCGATATCATAAGCATGTGTATTGCGCAATTGTGCTATCTTACTTGATGAATTTGTTTCAATTATTTTTCTGTTGTAAAATTTTTATTCTACAGAAAAAAGGAAAAATATTTCTATTTTGATGTAAATGTACAATTTTCATTGTTGTCTTCGTGATTTGTTTACATAGATACAGATCACAGGAAGAGTAATACTAGTTTGTTTCTACATTAGATTTCTTCTAATACGATATAATCAATACATCTAAATTCACTACAGAACAGAAACCGCCTGAGAATCTCCAAGAAAAATTTTAACATACTGATAAATTCTAGTAAAGTATATTGAAATATAAAATTATTGTTGGTTTTTTTCTAAGTCCAAAAACATTAATCTATCTAGTAAAGATAATAAATTATAATTATAAAATTTCAGTTTGACTAATATTAAATATGTTCTTTGTTTGAAAAAATAATTAAATCGACAAATTTACATCGCAAAAATAATTTTAAAAATAAATCGATTATCAAGTTGATCAAATTTTATTTTTTGATCGTATTTTATTAGGATTAAACTTGTATTAGTTTCATAATCTAAAGCAAGAAAAGAATAATATGGAAGATTAATTGCTTGAAATGCAACATTATCATTTTCATAATTAAATATTAATTTAAATGTTGCATCTTGTCGAAATAAAATTGATTCATCACTTTTTGATAATTTTAATCGACTAAATTCATGACGTAAATAGAAATTCGATGAAAAGAAATATTTAAACGAGATATAAATTGATGAAGTATCTACTAAATCTAAACCTTTCTTCATAGAAAATAAAGTTCGATCTTTCATAGACATCGATATTAATATAGATAAACTATTTGAATTAAAATATGATATTGATATAAAACGATTATCAATTATAGATTGAATGTATACATTTGCTTCATAGTAATGAACAGTTCGATCTAGAATTCATAGAAAAAAACAATTTTGTTTTGAAAAAAAACTAAAACTTACATAAAAGAACATTACGAATATAATATTCAATAGATAAATTCATCAGATTATTATTTGACATAGGAATTTTGAATGTTATCTTATTTATTGGATTTATATCAACTATCATATAATAAAGAACGATTGATTGACATTCATCATTACAATATAATGGAAATTTAATATCAATTAAGAATTTTGTTGTAGAATCACATTTGAAATTCTTCGATTTATTTAATGATACACTTAAAAATAAAATATATATTTCATAATTGATTTAGTTTTTTTAAAAATTAAATTTTAATTATGATAGATTATGTTCAACTAAGATTTTCTTTCATGAAAAATATATTTCTAATGTTGTATTTTATCATTAATAGGAAATAAGTAAACTAGTTTTTTTTTATGGTATTTAAATGAATATGTTTCGAAGAGTTGAATAAAACACGTAATGCCTATTTTCATAGTGAACATACTAAATTTCAAATCAACGTGTACTAATACAAGTATTCAAAAAGTATTTTATTATCAATAATATTTATTTAATCTCTCCAATATCGTAAAAATAATTGTTTTAATGTATTCTTTCAGTATCAATCATAAATGGCAAATCGTATTATTCAATATTCTATTTTTGATAAATTTATTTATATTATAATAAAATAGAAGAAAACAATTGTTTTATTTTTTAGTTTTTACCTAAAGATTAATCTATTAAAAAATAGTTTAAATACATACATTTGTTTGAATGATTCGAATTTATCTAATATTGTATTAATTTCTAAAACTTGTAAATTAATTATAATAGGATGATTTAAAATTTCATTTATTTTTTGATTAATCTAAAGAAAAAAAAAGTAAAATATAATTTAAAATATTAAATATAATCAAGTAGAATATTAATACTATATATTGAATTGTATTAATTATTTCTGTTGTATTAAATAAATCAAATGATTGGCATATATGCTGAATAATTGTATAATCAATTTGAAAGTAATAATCATAATCAAATTCTATTGAAGGACTAAATATATCTTTCCTATTAATAATTTATATAATAAATAACAAAGAAAATTAATTAATTAATTAAAATACAAACAAATCTATTTCAGTTGATGGAGATTTGTATAATAAAAAGAAATGTATAACTATATAAAGTCCATAAATAATAATCAATATTAATAGAAGAGTAACAAAACGATGTATTGTTCGTAAAGAATTTTTCATACTAATTCATAATGAGAATTATTTCTTTATTTATTTTATTTATTTTAACTTACTAGAATTTTCTATATTTTCTTATCATAATTAGTCCAATGTTATTTTTTCTATATAAATACATGTATGACGAGAATCAAATAAAAATATTATTCATCGATCATTAGAGACCTTGATAAAGGTAATTATTACTTTTTATTATTCAAGATCGATATCTCACACATGATGATTTTATTATTTTTGTGATATATGTTTATAGAAATATTGAATATTTTCAATGAAATACAAATACTTTTTATATTTGCAGACATATTACTAAGATAAAGAATGAAATAAATTCATTAATTCATGCGAATCTCACGAAATAAATATGTTCTATGTATTAATGGACGATAATATGATAGTAGTATATTTAAAATAAAATAATTGATTATCAATCTTTCCTATGGTCCTTTTATATTTTTCATTTTAATAATAAAGACAGTGCTGATATTCGCACCCACATCCTCAAATGTGACGTACGAATACTATTTGTTTATTAAACTTTTACACACTATTAACGCAATATCATGTCTCCTTTCATTTATTATTGCTGTCTGTGCATGAGATAAGTCAACATCAATTCGTATCCAATCCATCGTTCTCAAATTGTTAATCATTCCTTGAATCATCTGTTGGTAGAGAATTGGTTCAGACTCAAAATATTTTCCACTACCTTCTTCCATTTGTTCACAAAATGCTCCAACTGAGTCCATATGATACCCAGATATATTTCCAGAAATGAATGTTCTATCAGACACTGATTGTTTGCTAGATAATGTCTTTGAAATGTAGGGCAATATCGCCGAACTTTGATAAGGAACCTTGATTTCGTTATCGACTATACTGCATACTGTTATTCTCCTCTTACAACTAGCAAGAGCTTTAAAATAATTTGATTTTCCATCATTCATAATTGCAATAAGAGGTTCATGTTCGTGATCTTCCAAAAGCATTTGCTTTGCTGTACCACCAAAGAATATAACTTTCATAGAATAATACACCCAATTTGGTACTAGAGCACGAACAGAGATCAATGGAGATGCTAGTGCAACATAATTCATAAGTTCCAATTCAATTTTAATGTTATCTTGTTGAACAATGATTCGATCACAATCTGAATTATACATTCGTCCCATAATATACCTGAAATTACCATAAAATAAATTTCATTAAACTTAGCAATGCGCTGATCAAGAGTACGATCTTATGTCTAACCACTTATTTCGTCTCAAAAGCAGAATGTCGAAAATTTTTAAGATTGGGATTACACTCGTATTACAATAAAAAAATCAAAATTTCAGTGATTGTCAAGTACCATTTAAATAGTACTCTGTTTCCAGTGCAGAAAGGTACAGATGCTAATTCTTTTCTTTTAGCAGAGACATCATTGTGTTTAGACGCACCTTTTTTTTAGGAAATAGTACTACTCTTCGTATTTTTATTGTCTTTCTGAAGATACGTTCAAATCGAAAAATTTCGCACAGCTTACCTACAGTATAGTCCACCCAAACTAGATCCTATAAAGCTTATCATTTTTGGTATGATATTTGTCTCTTTCACATGTGCGATTAATTTTGTAGTCAACTCTCTTATAATTCTCTCACCACCCATATCAATACCATCACGAGTTGATGACCAATTTTTAAATCGTGTACCATCATTAGCAGATGCATTTAATATCCAAATATTATCGTTTTCTTCTTTAATACGCTTTGCTAAATATTCCATGTGCCCGATGTTACCTTGAAGGCCATGTGCTAATACAATAACATGTTCACTCATATTCTTTAGAGAACAAATAAAATTTCATTATTACACAGGGTTCATTCGGACATTATTCATTCATACATGTGAATGAGTCACACTCAATAAATATTTCTATGGACGATTAATTTGCAGAAAAAGAAAGGTGTCGCAATTTCTTATGTGAATGCAAAGGTTTGTAGAAAGAACAAGAAAACAACTATGGAGGCGAATGCATCAATATACATTTTGTTATCAAATAAAATATGTGCATATTTCTAAACTTCCTTCGAATAAATTCTGAAGAATTCAAATTAAGGAATATTCTACTTGCTAAAATCATATGAACAGATTAAATCTGTTAAAGATAAATATAAGTGATATTGAACTAATAATTATTTTTATTTTTAATAAAAGAGAAAAATGGTTGCACCAGTATTTGAAATCTTGACCTTCTGCATATGAAGTAGATGTAATAATCATTACACTATCGAACCTTGATCTCATCTAATTCATTTTCTCAATTTATACATTATCAGTAAGAAACACAAGTTTTTCTTTCGTAATTGAAGAAAAAAATCTTTTAACATGAGTGAGTTTCGTTTCTTGTTGTTTCTTTTTGTATCTTAAAGATATGATATAAAAGATAAAGTAAGATACATTTTCGCACAAGTATGAAAGAGAATATGTTATTATTTATTTTATTATTGTCTTCATCATATTCTTTAGTTTATTCATTAAAATGTTATACAAGTTTAGTTCCAACTATTCTAAATTATAGTGTAACAAGTGATACTATACCATCATTTGATAATAATAAGTTAATTGATGTATCTGGTGAATGTACATTGACAATAATATGGTTAAGAAATCCTTCAAATACTGAGATTATTTTTGGTTATAATTCTATAACAAATAAAAATAATTTCTTAATTGATTCATTATTAGCAAATGTTCAATATCAATTAGAAGGTGATGAATTAACAAAACGATTATCTCGTGATATTCAATATAAATGTCAATCCTCAGATGAATGTAATAATGGAACAGTTTTAAAACGAATTTTAAATTCAATTCATTTAGAAGAACATTTTTCTGGTACTTTTGATTCATTAATTGAATCGAATGCATCATTTTCTAATCAATCAATAAATCAATGTTATTTTAATCAAGATTCAACACATGCATGTTCACCAATAGATTATTTAAATTGTCGACGATGTCAAATTTCAATGAGTATTTTTCCATTATTAACAAATGAAATCTGCGCAACATGTCCAAGAATAACTTCAGAATTTAATTCAATAGAACGCGATGCGATTTTTATAATTAATAATCGATCACAAATAATAGATCGGATACAATTAACATGTCAAAAAGGAAAACATTGCAATTCTATTGAAAATATTTATCAAATTCGACTACTAAGTTTTATTCAGTTTGATTTTGATCAATTTTTTCTTTTATCATCATCAACTCACATTGATTTTTCAATATTACTTCAAATCTTTCTATTCCTTATCACATTTATTTTAATAAAATAACAAGATATTTTCTCATAAAGATTTCTACGCCCAAAATCTTAATTCATATAATTAATCTAAGTAAAAGTTGTTAGAAGAGATCGTTTATTTTCTATTTAAATGATATGAAAACAAAAAAATCTAATTTTGAAATAAATACAATGGCGTATTATGTTCAGGTGCTATTTGTCCTCCATGAATACCACGCCATTTGTCTTTATCACTTATAACACCTGTCCAAAAACTAATTAAGATTGTTCCAATAAATATTAACCATTTAATAGTAATGAATAATAAATCATTTTTAACACCATTTATATGAAAGACAAAGACAATACTTAATTCACTGCAAAGTAATAATGGACATGTACAAATAAATAGTTTAAATAGAACTTTATGAATTGATTTGTTATTAAATATACAGCATTGATCAAGTGCAACCAATAAAACAATTGTCCAGATTAAATGAGCTAATATACAAAAAAATGGTAGAAGATTTACATCGAATATATCATCGATGCTTTTATTATGTAGCAATGTTGTATCATTATTTTCTAAATAAAAATATTAATTTTCAATTTAAAATAATAGAAAGAAAAAAGAAAAAGATTTCGTACTTTTAATCTTGGTTTGATTATTTGCCAAATCGAAATTTTTAAACATAATATCAGCAAATGAAGATAAATGAAGAAAAAATGACATAAGAATTAATAAAAGTATTAATAATGCTAGTAAACGTTCACGTCTACTTGCATAATACAACTGATGACCATCTCTATTCATATTTTTTTTAGAATTAGTGACAATAGATTTGAATTTACATTTGAATTTATATTTCAAACGATCAAACAATTAGATATACATTTATTTTCAGACTATTACAAATTAGATATAGGCAGTCATGTTCAACTATAACAATTACAATTATCTTATATATATTGTATATATCCAATCAGACTATTCACATAAACTCTTCATTGTTCTCTTGACTGATGATAATACTTCTATGGAACGTATATCGTCCGATTAATTACCGTACATGAAAAAGTCATATATAGTGAGTGAAGACGTTGTATATTATAGAGAAGTATCAATCTCTCTTTGTAATAACTACAAATTATTTCCGTATATTTTTAATGAAGAGAAGTACTCCTGTATTTCAATAAATGTTAGAATACAAATTAGATGAGTTGTTTTTTTAGTGTAGTTAGTTCAATCGTAAAATTTCATGCAGAGACATTTGTAGTTTTAATAGAAAAACTTAATCATGCTAAATAATGACTGTATCCAATCTACAATTGAATTCTGTAATGAATTGAGGATCTCTAATGTTAAATACAATCCAATGCAAATCTTTGGATTTGCTCTAATCTCTGATGAGAACATCATCTGTTTTTTGATTCTGATTCTAATCTGCTTGAGTATATTAATTTTGCAATAAATTATTTATTTTCTTCTTTTGTTCTCTTTCGCAACACGTGTGCAAAAGAATCATATATATATATAATATCGAGATTGGTTCTACAAGACTAAGACAAACAGAAGCAGCAAAAATAATGAGAAAGGAGGAATAAAGTTTTTTTAGTCGACATCTTTATATCTAAAAGCAAGACTTGGTTTTTGCATTTCATAATTAAAACCAATTGCTGGAGTTAATTTAACAATTTCATTTAAAACACATTCAATAAATTGTGTTGTTGTTGCTGTACCACCAATATCGGGTGTTTTGATTTTATGTTCTTGAATTGTATTTAAAACGGCATTTTTTATAGCTGAACAATGATGATCCAATCTAAAAAAGGAAAATAAATATTATTAGAAATAAAAAGTCGATGCTTTTTTTTTTCTTACCCTAAATATTTCAGCATATTGGCAGCAGCAAAAAGAATACCAGATGGATTAGCAATATTTTTTCCAGCAATACCTAAACCTGTATTTCTTGTTCCTTGTTCAAAAATAGCAAAATGGTCTCCATAATTTGAACCAGCAACAAAACCTGAACCACCAACAAGACCAGCACATACATTTGAAACAATATTTCCATATAAATTTGGCATAACCATAACATCAAATTGTGTTGGTCGATTTACCAATTGCATACAGGTATTGTCAACAATCATTGTATCAAATTTAATATCGGGATATTCAGCGGAAATCTCACGACAACAATCAATAAATAAACCATCACTCAATTTCCTATTTTACACAATAAATTATAAATTATTTCAAGAACAAAAAAAGAATAATTTTACATTATATTTGCTTTATGAACAGCAGTGACTTTCTTTCGGTCAGCATGTTTTGCAATTTCAAAAGCAAAACGAGCAATTTTAAGAGATTTTGCTCGTGTTATAACTATTAAAGAGAAACGAATAAATAGATATGTGTATATAAATTAAATATTTACCTTTAAGACTTTCAACAACTCCAGGAACGGACTAAAATAAGAAAAAATAAAATAAGAGAAAATATATAAAATGCGAATATTTACCTCGTGTTCAAGTGAACTATATTCACCTTCGGTATTCTCACGAATAACGAGAATATCAATATTTGAATGACGTGTCGGTACAACAGGACTTGTTTTACAACGAATGACATTAGCAAATAAATCCAAACGAGTACTAAAATTATAATATAAAATTATGAAAAACCAACAATAAATAAATAAATTTACCGTAAAAGAACATTAAGAGAATTTGATGTATTTTGTGATGCAATATTACCTATTTGATTTCAATATATATTTTAATAATTTAATTATATAAAAAAAGAAGAATATTAACCTTTAAGAGCTATACCATTACGTTTAACAGCTGTAATAGCTCTTTCAAACATTGCATCACTAGCTACATGACTTGATAATGGTATATCTTCAAAATCGACCGGTGCTCGAACACATCTAATTTAAAAAATGATTAAATAAATCACAATAATAATATTTCTTACCGAATAGCAGCTTTAACATGTTCCATAAGTTCAGGTCCAACACCATCTCCATGTATTAATGTTACAGTATATTTTCCTCCATATGCTGTTCTCCAAGATGTATTCAACTGATAAAATATACGGAAATAAATAATTAAATAAACGCAATAAGAAAAAAAATATACATACATCGTTACTGATCGATCGACATGGTGTTAAAATCGATGATAATACACGACGACTGTTGATTTTTAAAATTGACTGCATTTTGTTTTTGTTTGAAAACCTAAATAATCTATTCTATTCACATAATATTCAAGATCGAATATGAGAAAAACATAACAGTAAACAAACAAATCGACAACTACAAGAAAATCAATGAGTCATATTTTCTTTTTCTATTGGACAAATCATATGCGGTTTTCTACAAGAAATTATATAGATGTCGCAGATTTTCAATTAGAACATAGTCTTATCTGTATAACTAACCATGTCTTATAACGATTTAAACTTCTATTGATTAGAGATGTGACGATTTTAGTCTTCTTGTTACCGAATATGATGATGATTTTATGATTAGAATTTATGAATGTAGATGAATAATGGATAGCTTTCTTCCTCATCTACATCCTCAAGATTTTGCTAAAACATTTTCGTTCTAATAGCTAATTATAGAAAAATATTTTTGTAATTTCGCAATCCACTTGTATCATATATGACGCTATGTCAGTAAAATGAGTCATTGAAGTAATGTGTTCTATTTTTCATAAGTTTTTCTGTTCTTACATAATTTTTTCATTATTTATAGTGAAGTTTGAAATCATTTTATTATGATTAATTAGAATAGAATAATTTTGTTTTTGAAATATAGTCGAAATATGGCGTCAGATAATTTTTATGATGGTTTTGATTATAATTCAAGTCAAGATGATCTCGAAATTGAATATCAAATTTATTTATTTGAAATTCGTCAATGTTCAAAAGCCAAAAAACAAAACAAACATAAAATGAGAATACCTTCATATCGATTCTCAAGAAAAACTTCCAAATCACAACATCCATTAATTAAAATTGATAATATTGATAACAAAAGAACAGTAGAAGTTGAACAAAAAATATTTCGTTATACTCGTTATCCATCAAAACAAGCCAAAAACATAATAAAAGGTTTCGAATGTGATAAACAATTTCAAACAAAATCAGATTGTGTTCAACCCAATGTATCATTGCAAACTGTACGTCCACATGATTTTACGACTTTTCGTCGTCATTTCTATCGAACAAATCATCAACAAATCAAATCTTCTTTGAAACATCAAACGAATATTGAAATTATTAATATTCGTCTTGCACCCATCGATAAATCTATTCAAAATGATTTTATGAAACGATTTAATGAAAATACTTCATATTATCCACATTTAGTTTATCATGGAACAAAACTAACTAATATCAAAAGTATTCTTCGATATGGTTTTCTAATACCAAATCAACCACATCCAACTAATAGTAAAGCACCTATTATTGCTACACAAAATGGTAGTGCGTATGGTTCAGGAATTTATTGTAGTGAAACTGCTGATTATTCTTTATCCTATACGAATACTACTAATACACTTTTAGTATGTGCAGCTTTACCGAAACGTAATGAAGCTGGTTCAATTGAACGTTCTCATGGAAATATATTAGTTTTATCACATGTATCAGAAATTATACCTTTATTTCTCATTGATATTCAATATTTGAGTGAATCAAATCTAAATAAACCTTGGTTTAATCAACAATATCCAGTAAAAATAAATATCAAAGAAGACGCAAACAAACCGCTTATTATCTCGCGAAAATATTTACGAAAAGTATTGAATTATATGAAGGATGAGGTACAAAAAAACAGACGATATCGAGGACGAAGGAATAATCGACATAAAATACGAAGAGAAGATGAATATCAAGCGAGAGTATTTGAACTATTTAGTTGAAAACTGCCAATGTCACATAATTTTTATGTACAATTTTTTTTTCTTTTTCGATTTTGGAAGTATTTTAGTTTATTTTAATCGAAATAAAAATCATTTTTATTGAAAGAAAAGAGAGAAAAGGAATAATTGGTAAATAGGTCGATGCCGTATATATACGACATACTCACTTAATGAATGTATTTCTCGAGCGCGAGATGAGTCAATATTGACGAGGATGTCGATGAAAGAGAACAAGAATACGCAGAAGAAGGATTATGTGACATACATATGGTGCGGAAAACAACATAATATTTTCCTACACATTCATCTTTTATTTCTTGTTTTTTTGTAATATAAAAAAACTTTTAACAGATCATCTAATAATATATCGGCATTGCGACGTTTCATTTAGCAGTAAGTTTAAGAAAACTAAAAATCATTGAAACTCTATGTAATTTTGTGTAATTTGAGTAGGCGACAACGATATATAGTAAAAAAAGAAGACAATTTATTTCTGTTTTTCTTTGATTTATTTTCAGTATTACGCTTCTGCTCTTTATTATGATCATTAGTAGTCTTCCTCTATATTATTGCTTCTTTCGATCATAACGTTTATCTCTTCTGCCCCCGTCTCTATAATCTTTTGGGAGATCTCATACATAATTTTAACCGATTTATTCATAGTTTGTTTTTTAGTTTAGACTTAAACATGAGTCAAAGTTTTATTAAAACCAAACAATGCAAGGAATTGGAAGAAAGTGTAAATCAATACAAAGAAAAAGTGAAAAAAATTAAAGATACAGCGAAGACAATCTTGGAATCAATTGAAAATACTAGTGGAATTGAACTTTTTCGTTCGTCATGTAAAGCCACAGGAACTCTTGGATTGACAACTGTGGGTGTCTTACCGACAGGTTGTGTTGGACTTATTTTTCCACCTGCCTTGATTCCAATCGGTGCAGCTGTGGGTACCAGTTTTCTTGGGATGATGGGTAGTGCAATTACCATGGGTGTTACAGATTTAGTTACCGGAGCTTCTGCCAAAATTGACAGATGGATGAATGAACTATACGATATAAAGTATCAATGGATTGCTGCAAACAATACTCTGTTAAAAGAGATGTGCAAAATACAAGATGTTATGAATCAGTCCAGAAGAGAATTGGATGGATCTTCATTGACGGAAGACCAAAAAGAAAACGTTTCGCTTGTTACCGTTTTTGCCGTTTTGGATAGTGGGAGAACAATTATAAGTGAATTACCGAAGTTTAAAGACTTGCCGGATAGCGGAAACTTCATAAAAGCAGTGAAATTTGTTTCAAGTTTCATCTTCGGAGCAGCAGCTATTTTGGAAGTTGCAACCAAAATATGTGATCCATTAATGGTCGATAAAGATGTTAGATCGTATGCCACAGCTTTAGTTATGCAGATGAATGAAGAACTGGACAGATGTAAGGAGTGCATAAATTATATCGAACGTCTCGACCATGAAATACGACTTCGTCAACTCGAAGATAAGTGTTTGAACTCCAACTCCAATCTCTGGTAATCATATGTACGATCAATATTAACTCTGTAATATATCTCCTAAATTTTCATTTATTTTTATTGTGCATGAAAAATCTTTTCGCCGATATTTATATTACTTCCATATATAAGGGAATGTAATCCCGCACTGTCAAGATGGTGTTTTGTTTTACTGTCCATAAATGTTAGATGCTTTTGTCTAATAAGGGTATGAGTGTGGGTGGGCGTGGGTGCGAGTAGGGATGAATGTGAGTATGAGATGAGGAGAGTGGGAACACCTAGGCCCACTCACACCTACCTCACCTACATCCACACCCATACTCTGTTTTCTTCTAGTAAAAATTTTTTTCTCGCTTTTTTGCTATAAGAGAATAAAATGAATTATTTTTTGTGTACTCAAAAAGTGAGTACACTACTAGAATCGGTCAGTGTGTCCGGCCGGCCGTCCGGCCGTTTACACGATAACTCTCGAAAGGAGAATCAGACTGAGCTGAAATTTTCTACACAGTTTAGTCTCGTTGATATCTCGGTCGAGTTCGAAGATGAGCTCAATCGGTTATACCATTGTTGAGTTATAAAAGAAATTCTCATTATTGATCAGACCATCCCTGAGGGGGAGTACAGGGATTTTTTTTTCAAAAAAAATATTATTCTCAAAACTACTCACAGCATATATAAATCGACTCAGTTTTTAGCGCTGATTCCGAATCTGATATTAGTTTTGAACCAAATCGTAGCTTTCTAACAAAATATCGCCTGAAAAAGGTCTCAAAATGCACAAAAATTGTATCTAGAAACCAAATTGCCTAGATATGTCTCACATGACTAGTAGTTTTTGGATTTTTCAAATACCTGGCTTTGTATCTAGTCAAAAGGCCTATCGAAAGGTAAAAACCCGAACTCGATCGCTATTAACATTGGTGAGCTATTATGAAAATACTCGTGTCTGTATCTATTATATATCTCTTATAGATTCATGAAGTTACTTACAATCGTGATCCCCCTAGTTACAAACACAGATTTATTTAAAAATTACTCCTCTTACCTAGTATTTTTGGAGTAGATAGAATTTGTGAAGAGCCTTGAATAACGATAGGGGGTAAATATGGTGTGTTTGAGGTTTCCTCAACTTTACACTGTCCGAAAACTATGAAAAAACTCACATATACTGACACTGCTGTTAGAACTGTTTATTGTTGACTAAGTTCGGCCAGCCGTTTACAGGATACCTTACGAAAGGAGAGTCAGATATTGATGAAGTTTTATACACAATTTCGACTAATAAAGATCTCGGTCGAGTTCGAAGTAGAACCTAATTGGACGAGCCATTCCTGAGTTATTACAAAAATACTGATATTTCCCTATGATTTCCATATGCACTTTTTGCGGTACACATAACTCTCGGATACAATCCGAAGTTTCCACATTTATTTTTATTATCGAAACGAAAAGCAACTTCTACAATTTATTTCGATCGGGATATTGTCGACGAAACTTTGTTGAAAATTTCATATGTAAATTCGTTATTAATTTATATAATGGTGATAGCATATTTCGATCCTTAGATTCATTATTATGTTTCAATTCATGGTCTAGAATAACTTGTAATGATGTTTTAATTGATGAAAGCATCAACTGAAAATCTAATAGAAGATTGTATGTATCACCAGAATTTAAACCATTTTCCATGATTATTAAAGCTTCCGAACCATGTTTATAAAAATCTAATACATAACTATTCAAATGGTAAGCTGTATTTGTATGATCACAACAGTTGATATCAAAAAATGGAACAACTTTTGGTGATAAATCAAGATCATAAACAAGATCCCATGAGCCAATAATTGGATTATAATTTAACATATATTTTTCATGAGTAAGACCTGACAGAGCAGCAAATGGAGAAATTGATAATGATTTTTGTCTTTGTTGTGAATAATGATGATGTAGTTGATATTCAAATGTACCATTATCATAATCAATATTTTGAGCAAATGAAATGTTTGAAAATGGTAAAATTTCTTCGTGTCTATTGTTCGAATTACGAAGATATTGTGCAATTGTTTCTATATAACATCCATAAACTTCTTTAACGATTGAATTATAAACATCAATACGTTGTCGAAATGCGTTGGAAATTGGTGGTAAGAATAATTTTGAATTAAGTTTCGTTTCTTTTCGATTTTTCATCAGATTTTCATATTTTTTATCGGTAATTAACCTAAATGAAATCTATCAATTTGGAAGATGATATATTTAACTTACCATGGCATATTCGTGAAGAGATAAGCCAAGATTGTAATGATTTCAAATTGATCCTTAATTTGATGAAATAATCGAGTATCCATAAGATAAACAAGTAAAATATTTGCTGGTTCAAAATAATGTATATGAGTTAAAAGACCAGCTAAACCAATTAATTCTCCATGTTTATTAATTAAATTTAATCGATAAAGAAAATCCATTGTAAATAAACAATGAAAACGTGTTTGAACATCAATTAGTTGACTATTCATTGATGATTGCGCAATCAATGGACATTGTAATACAATTAATGATCGATTAATTGCATCATTAATATCTTTAGCATTTGAACATAAATGTAAAAGACGCATAAGAAATGTTACACTTGTAGGAAAATGTGCATGAATATTTGGTATTGCAGACATCATTAAATGACTTATTTTTGCTAAAGGAATATCAATAAATATGACATGACCTTGTATATCAAAACCACGACGGCCAGCACGTCCTGATGCTTGTCGATATTGTAAAGCATCGAGATAAATTGTATCTTGTATAAATGCAACTGTCTTTGCTGGCATATGAATACCCAATGCTACGGAAAAAATCAAATAATAATTATTCGTTTTTTTTTAAATATGATAAAAAAAATCATACCAAGAGTTGCTGTAGAAAAAACAACTTGAATGTATCGAGTACGAAAAAGAGCTTCGACAGCAACACGACCTTTATTATTCAAACCAGAATGATGATAAGCAACACCACGTCGCATATATGATACTAATCGAGAATTATCCTTATCTGCCCGTTCTAGTAAAGCATCAGCTAATTCTCGATCACATCTTCGTCGATTAGCTAATGTTCCTTCATCTAAAATTCCATCTAATAATTGTTGTTCATGATCAGAAAGTAAAATTTGATTATTTTCTTCTTCGACCATTTTTATTTCATCAATATTATCTTCATCATGATGACGTTTACTCGAAGATTTCGAGACTTTTTTTTGTTTAAGTTTTTGACGATTTTGTTCTGCTAATTCTAAACGGTTTTTTAATTCTTCAATTTGTTTTTTATATTTCGTTTCTCGTAAATCGTTTTCTATTTGGTCGTAATGTTTTGCAACACTTTCAGCCATTTTTTCACATAAAACTCGATTATCCGAAAAAACAATACACGGAAGAAGATTTTTTTCTTTCAATGTATCGATAAAATCAACAATTAATGATGATACTTTTTTAGTTTCAGGATATTTAACATCACTTGACGTAATTGGTTGCAATGCTGTAATAATCGAATCGATCGTGGACGTTTTTTGTTTATCAATCAAATGATGGAATTGATTCTGAACAAGTTTTGAATATTCATTACATATACTTCGTTCAATTATCCAATCAGATGAGAAATATTCTGTTAATGATGGTACTGGTTTACATTCAATATCATTTTGTCTACATAAACGAGTAATGATCAAGTCATCGCATGTGTATTAAATTATTTCTACTTACTTTTTTTTAATTTGATCATTAAGTTTTATAGTTTCACGTGGTGACAACGAAAAATCTTTTGGAATACCTCGTGTCATTAATTGTTTTGTATTCATAACTCCAATTGGATGAATTGGATATAATTCTCGATTTGAATATAAATATTTATTTAAATCAGCAATACGTTCATGATGAGTAATTAAACATACTTGACGAGGTGTTGATGTTTTGAATAATTTTGAACGTTGTTTTTCAACATTTGTAATCCATTGACATAATTCATCACTATTATTAACCGTAGCAGAAAGACCAATCATTGGACAATTAATAAGTAACATGGTTTTTTCCCAAACATCAGCTCCAATTTCACCTGACATACAATGAATTTCATCGAAAATTGCATATCTTATTCGTTGACACCATTGTTGATGTGTTAGAGACAAAAGTAAAATTTCCATACATTGAGGAACAGTAACTAATATTCGACAGGAATCCATATTAACACGATAATCTCGTGTAAAGATTCCAAATACAGGACCATATTTTGAATGAATTGTTGCTACATATATAAGTGATCAAGATAGGAGAGAGAATATACACTATATAATTTACCTGCTACTTGATTGACTAATGCTTTTGTTGGTGCAATATAAACACAAATACCATGTTGATCATTATTATCTTTTAATACTTTATTCATTGCATAATACGATGCATATGTTTTACCTAAATATATCAACAAATGACAAAAGAATTCTGAATCTAAATTAAAATTAACCTGAAGCAGTAGGTGCAACAATAATAATGGATTGTCGTTTATCCACAGCATCAAGAAACTTGACTTGCCATTCATCTGGAATAAAATCTACTACACGATTATCAGGCGTACCTTGTTCACGTCTTGGTAATCGACTATTGATTTGTTCCATTTGAAATCGATAGAATTGTTCTCGATCTAATGGTGAATGATTAATAAGTTCTTCGAAATATTTTTTCTTTTTATCAAAGACGTCAACAATCTTTTCGAGATGTACTACATCTGTCATTGTTGCAAAATAACCTATTTGAAGAAGTTCTAATTTGGATGTTTCTTCAATAGTTAAAATAGTTTTCTTTCGAAGTGATTCTAAATATTTTCGTTGAAGACGAAATTTTTGTTTTAATAATTCAAGACGATGATTTGAAGTTTGAAAATTAGGTAAACTTTCATCAATAATTTCAATTGCTTTTGAATAATCATCAAGTGAAATTCCTTTTAATAAATTATTGACTGAAGTTAATTGTTCACCTTCATCTTCAGCACGTTTTATCATTTTTTGTTGTTTATTATCTTCTCGAATTTTATCTGCTTTTTTCTGAGGTTTTTCCTTCTTTTTATTGTCAGTTGACATCGTTGTTGGAGCAGTTGGTAAAACAATCTGTAGATGATTATCTCGAACATCACGATTAGTCAATGACTTGCCATATAAAGTGAAATATGCGTAACTAAACAAAAAAAGTATCTAGAGATAATTAAAAAACACTGATTTTTCCTACAATTGTTGTTGATGTTTAGTTCGATAACGATATTTAGTGGAGTTCCGAAATGTTTCATCATTATTTCGTATCCGACTAATTTCATCACCAACCTACAGAATACAATCATAGATAACTAAAGAATCACAACAATGATAAAAAAAACAGTACTTCTTTATACACATGCCAATGGTATTTTCCTAGAAATAATAAAAGACAAGTTGATATGATTAATAAATCTGACAAATATATTCACCTTCATATCGAGCCAATTGAACATTTTTCGGATCGACAAAATTAAATGTTAATTTCTCAGGATTTGATATAATCGGTTGTAAATAAGTATCAATAAATCGATTTGATATTCGTGCAATTTCTTGTGACTTACTTCCAACATCTGTTTCTATTGAAAATGACGATGAAAATATTAAATGTTTGGATTGAATTAGTTTTTCTATTGTTTCATAGAATATGTTTTTATCGACTGAAAATTTCAAGAATGATAAACAATCTATGATAATATTCATTGTATCGGAATCAAATGATATTTTTGATGATGATTGATTTAATTGATATAGAGTAAAAGCAAAAAAACGTCCATCGAATAGATCAGTTATTTTCGACCAAGATCGAACTGATGAGCATGCAGATACAGATAATGCTAATTGTTGTTGAAATTGAGTAATTAGTTGAGAAAAAATTGTACTGAATGTAATCGAAGGGAAGTCAGATGGAATTTGACGATCAATTAATGATAAACGAATAAGTAGAGCTATGTGAAGAAGTAATAATGGACTTAGATATTTCAATAATTCCTCTTCATCAACTTGATCCTAAAATCGAATAAAAGAAAATAAACTTCCTAAAATTCACAATCAAACAAAATACCTTTTTCATTTCCATCAAATCAATGATGGTTTTAATATAGAGAAATACTCGTATATCATTTTGAGTGATTATATCACTTATTTGTTTTTCAAATTCCGTCCATTTATTCTTTTCATTTATAGTAATATGTTGATAGAATGCTCGTATTTGAACTATATCATTTATTCGTTTTTTAGAACATTTTTCTCTATAATTCATTTGAAAACATTTTATATAAGTATCAGTCAATGTTAATTTGTTCATTAAATACACATGACATTCTAAATCAAATTGATGATAAATACCAAATAAACGATAGATATAAAGTAATTGTTTTAAAGATAGTTCAGATAGTAGATGATCTTTTGTTAAATTAAAACTTGACATATCATGATAGAATATAAAATGTGGTTTTTCTTCTTTAGCAAATTTTTTATAATCTTCATCAAACCATGATGAAAACTGTTTTACTTTCGAAGAACCATATTTATCAATATTTTTTGAAAGATGAGTAATAAGACAAGAACGAATGAGACTAAGAATTGACTTTTCTTTTTGATAAAATTGATGATGACAATCAAAAAAGAGTAATGTATAATTACATTGATGGGTTTGATTGAAAAGTATTAAAAGAATACGTTCAATAATGAAGATAACATGAAGAGTATTACCAAAGTATGAAATAAGATCAACATTAATATGATGAGCAATGGAGAGAAGTAATGAATCACCATCAATAAAATAATGTGTGCTATCACGAAATTCACGTTGTAAATCAAGAAAACGAGCACGATAAGGAAATAATATATCAAGATCATCTTGGGACATTACGATTGTTTCATTAATTGAAAGTAAAGTTTCAATTGTATGAACAATTGGTTTATGTATTTCAGAAATAGTAGACATTGTTGTTTTACTCGGGAGATGTTTGATTAAACGTTCACGTTGCTTCTGATTATTAACACCATCAGAAAGATGCAGAGCGATTTGTTGTAAAGCAATACTACTAATATTTTCATTTTGATTTTTCATACAATGATCAAGAGTACGAAAATAAATATCAGTAAAATGAGAATGACTCTGTTGACAATGATATAAGAATTGTAGAAGACGTTTGTATTGATCAATTGAATTAATATAAGTTTCAAGTGGTTTTAGATCTACCTCTTGTTTAGAACAATTGCGTAACGATGATGATTGATCAAAATTGATATCTCCAGATAATAATTCTTCTTCTTCTTCTTTTTCTTCATCTTCTTCTTCTGTTTCTGATTCATTGTCAGATTCATTGTCTCCAAGATCGTTCTCTGCGTTCATAAGTGTTTGCTGCTCTTGATCAAATTCTTTCCATTGTTGTAATTTTTGTTCAACGGCTTTCTCAAAACATGAACCATATTGTGTTTGATACAAATCATCTTTTTCTAAAATTTTTTGATGATATGCTATTTCTGATGTTGAATCTGTATCGAGTAAATAATCCAGAAATCTATTGATTTCCTGATTCATTTTTTCATGAGTTTGGGTTGTACTCACGGATGCCATTGTTTAGTTAATATAAGAACGTATTGGAAAAAAATAAACGTCAATAACTACGAAGCATTTTTTTCTCTTATGTGAATACAACCAGTTACGTAGCTATTTACTAGGTAGTAACTTATTTTTTTTGTGACAGAACGAAGAAAAAAACAGTCTGACTACTAATCTAGTTTGTTTAATAATTGATGAAGCATAATGTTTTTTCTGTCTGACGCATACTTTTTTTCTCTTTTCCTTTCTTTTCATAACGTGGTAGACACATTATAAAATACCCAGTTAGGGTAAGTATTGCTTGAGTGTGGGTGTTCTCACACGCATATTCATCTTCAAGCTATTCGATTTGAACACGATTCAATTCTGGCACGGAATTTTGAGAATCTGAGAGAATTGATTCCGTGGGTGAAACCGATTCCTTCAATAGTCAACAATCCGGATTAGGATGACTGCTCATTTTCAAACATAAATGTGTCAATATTAAAATGACTTAAAAGATGTGTTATCTTCTCTATATTGAAAACGTTTTCATTTCTTTCCCGGTAGAATTCAGTTTCTTTATCAAAGAATGATCATAGAACGAAAAGGAATGACCTATTCCTACCATAAAAAACCCTGTTCACAATTAACTCACTTTTTCGTTTTTACTCTAACTAGGGGTGTGGGCGTGGATACGTTTTAAATATGATACCAACACCATTATGAGTCAAGTAAAAACTGTGCCATAGCCTGCTTGAACAATCGTTTGGAAGAATAGCTGTGGTACTTTGGATTTCTATCTTAGCATCCACATAGTATTGAGCGATCTCAAGTCTTATAACTTTCTCTTGATTTGAGATACTATTCAATGCAGAATTTACTTTGATTCCAGATTTATCTTATGATGAGCCCGTACCCAGACAGACAAGACCTCTAAAAAAAGCGTAAGAACGCGTTTAAAATTCGTAAATACACCGTTTTTACGAATTCTTAACGCGTTTCTACGCAATTTTTTGGAAAGCGTTCTACTACGTTAAAACCTACTCCGTATTTACTCGTTGAAACGCGGAATTCAACGTGGTTTTACGCGTTATTTTGTGAGTTTTAACGCTTTAAGCACAGATTATTGACGCATTAATCACAGTAGACAAGCTAACGGAGATAAAAATCGTAGAAATGTGCGCTTTTCCCGATTTTTTTTGTTAAAATTTCAAAATTTGTACGCCGTATTTCTCCGTTTCTTTTTAAATTTTGTTTGTCTGGGTAGGCAAGGACGAAACCGTTCATGGTAACTGTTTATATGACTGCCGAATGAATTCACTATCACTGTTTGGTTTTATATTGAGTGTGCAATAAATGGGAATAATTTCCGACTGATAACTTTCAATCGAACTAGAGATAGAATGCCGTCTGAAGGATCCCTTAAGCAAGAACGAAATCATGATCACGGTAGCTAGACTCACCCACATCCCCATCATTTAGTTTGTATTTGTATTACGGTAGATTCTAAATCATTGAAGAAAGTTATTATATTCTTGATTAGCCACCCTTCGAGTCAGATTATGATAAGAAAAGAAGAAAAAAACGTTTTCCGCATTATTTCAAATCGGGATAATAAAAAACGAGGCTAGTTATAAATTCGTCCTCGTCACTCTCGTCATTTCTGTATAAATAAGAGTCTGTGCAAGATTGATTATTTGAATGAGCATTGCTCTCACAATGAAGATGTTGATTATCATCACTGTCAACATTATCATCGCCACTGTCATCATCTTCATCTTCATCATCACTGTCACCATCTTCATCTTCGTCATCATTATCACAATCACCATCATTGTCATCGTCTTCGTCAACCCTCTCGCCAGCATCATCAAATCCGAGACGAGCTTCCCAAATACTTTTGCGCTTACGAGCAAATCTATCATATTGATCATGATCTGAACTAACAGCTAAGTTTTCCGTTTTTTGAATTAGCAGAAGTATTAATGAACTATTGTTTAATCGACATTGTCTAATAGTCAGATCATCATCAAGTTCAACGCCGAGAAAGAGAAGTTTTTGCTCATTGATTGATGTTACGAAGCCTTCATTATAAATAACAGTTTTCAACTGGAGAATATTACTGGATTGATCGATGGTCACCGAGAACATCCGATCATTTTCCATGACAAAACGCAAAGATATGATAAGGGTTAGTTGTAAGGTAGAACTCTGGTCTATTTTGTGAAATTCCAGCGACTGATTTATGTCATTAAGTTGGTGTTCTCGAAAAGATAGTCGTTGCTGATCTTCTGGCAAATGAAGATAGGCGCGCAGTCCTCGATGAACATCTTTTACAGTCACCATCCTTTTGAGTTCGAGTGGTATTCGCTCGAGTCTGTCTGGTGACTTCACATAAATATATTCAATCGGGATTTTTGAAGGACTTAAATCAAGAATATCTCTTGCATTAACGAGTAACGACAAGTTGTCGTAGATGTCCAAGATTTTTCCATTTTGTATTAACAGATATTGTTCAAAACACATGCGAAGCTTCTTTGCGGCTTTTGTTCTTACAACACCAACGATATCATTGAATTGTATCTCAATTGGAATGATCTCATAATTTGAGGCTGTAATGTTATATCGTAGAAAAATAAAAGTATGCTCCTGTCGTAACACATCTATAATGCATTCAGCAAATGGCCGAAGTAAAGTGGTGGGATCAGTAAGTTCTCTCATGTGGTGGAACAATCGTTGCTTATTCGCTGCACTCCCATACAGATACTGCACTGATTGCTTGAGTAACTGCACTGTGGCATTGCCGGGAAGTTGTACGTCACGAGGATACTCATTGAGGAAACGTATCATAATGCGAAAGCCTTCAGTTGGATTCGTATGATAAACAAAAACAGTTTGTTTATGGCAGATGTCAGTTTCATCCCATGCAACGTGTTCTTTGTCTATTATCTTCATGTTAGCATATAGTTTCATTTTGTCCGTCTGAATATTCGACATTTCTGATATGAGGTCCTTTAAATGCTTGACGGTTGCGTTCATTTCAACAGAACAGTTGGATAATTGCTCCCGGTCAGAGAATACTATTCGTATATCACATATTCGTGTATCGGATAGCATAATTAAATGTATCCTTGCTATGAATTCTTCGGTTCGATCGTTCGCAAACACCTGAAGAATCGAATAATTATTTGGAGAGCGCCATTCTCTTTCGGATGATACTAGTTTTTGCCGGTCTTTGGATACACCAAATTTTTTATGTAATTGCTCTCTTAGCTGAATGATAGTTGCTTCAGGAGAAAGTTCTATCGTCTCTTTGCGACCATTGTACTCAACCCAAAAAGTGACCGTTGTTTTCTTAGTCAAGTCGAGAGTTAGTGTCGCATGTTGTATCACACCGTATGTTGTCAAAGAGGTATTGTCTTCGTTGAGCTCTTTGCCATTAAGCCATATCCGCTGAAAGCGGCTAGGTATACCTCTATTAGTCTCGATCGATGACTTTAGATAGTGAACTGTGATTTGTGATGGATCACCCACGAACTGGATCGTATCATGTTCAGCAGGCATCTCGACGTGGAATAGAACTCTTTCATTTACTTTCTTTTTTTTGTGAAGAAGGTAAAATGACGGATTACGTCGGAGACGATCGTACAGTAATGTACCATCTTGCAGTTCATAGTTGAATGAGAAGAGTTGTTGCATCGACGGTGGTGGATATTTGTACTTACGGTGCAGGCGTAGTTTGACATGATAAATGGAAAACCAGAATTGTATTCTTAGACGGATGAATCGACGCTTTTTATGGCCAGTAATACGAATACGCACAATTCGTGGCTTAGGAATAGACCGGATCTTCCAAATTAAAGACACTTCATTAGTTATATTATAACTTAAGAGGCTTCGCGAATCTTCTAGTATTTCATTATTGACAATAAGTTCTTGTTTATAGCACGGAATATGATAATATTTTTCGAGTCTCGTCTTCACTTGCATAATAGTGTCTGAGGATTCAATCAGCAATGACCGTATAACTTGTTCAGCTGTCATTAATATAGAAATCCGTATACATGGCAGCGAAGGCATCGAATTCTTATCGTATATCCTTCCAGCGAGATAGGCCTGCGTCTTCTGAATAAGTGGATGTCGCGACGGAAAAATTCGCTGCAGACACCGTAAGGTACATTCGTGTATCGGATCAGCTTCAGGTGTCGTATACGTATTAGCGAGATCATTTAAATGTTCAGCCAGTTTCTTATAGTCGATATCTGCAGCGTGTAGACATTCTTCAATAAGCTCCAAATATTTTTCACGCGCTTCTCTTACTTGTTGAAGGCGTGCATGAGCATGAGCGATATTCTCAGGATTTACGTGCCATTTCAACACTTGAGCTGGATTACTTTGGAGACATACTAGTTTACAACCGAAGTCGTATGCTTTCAAAGCAGTCTCATCATGCTGGAATGCCCATGAATAGTAGACTAGCGCAATAGTAACATGGCCCAGGTAATCGTGTGTCCGCCCAATCGAGAGGCAAATGTGGGCGAGATCACGTTTGCGTTCACCAAACTTCATAAGCCGATCGTGATAAATTATTGCCTGCTCAAACATACCCATTTCGACTAAAAGTCTTCCGCGCGCAACATAGTCTTTTAAATGCGTTAAGTCTTCACTGATGCGAGTAAGATATGTCTCACCTGTATTGAGTCCCGTACTGTCACAGGACTCCATTTTGACACACCAATAGTCTGATGTTTTTACGTAATCAACACTGATCACTCGGAACACGCTACCCAAGTCAAAAAGAACTTCATCTTCGTCTTTGATTTTACTCATGTTTGATATATCTGCACAAACACAATCGTCATCCAGAGATGGGTCTATCAAAATCTCGAAAATGACTCTATGCGTGCCTTCGTTGTTTTGATCACCGACACCAGCAAACAACTCGGCTAACTTTCGATTCATCGTCGTCGATAAAAATCCATTCGTGTAAACCAAACAACCAATATTCATTTGAATTTTGGTAAGCTCTTCCTTCGACATGTTTTTCGTTCCGCGATAGACAGGGATCTTGTCGCCACAAAGTGTTCGTCGTATAAATGGATGATAGTTGACAAGACTCTCGCATAAAGGCACAATGTAATATCGCAACATATACAAGGCATCATAATCCACAGCTCGCAAGGCTTGATTGACTATTTTGAAGAGGAAGCTAGGTTTTGTATACCACTCTATGACCCGATCACACCAATATTCCATTTCGAATTTGAATAATAACGTTAGATCATGTCTTTCGGTACGAAAATAGGCACGACACTTCTGAAGCATGTCCTCTTGAGCGTACAGATCTATCTGACGGTTGATCGAAAGATAATGTCGTAGTAATTTAGTCCACCAGAGTGACGGCGTGAGATCGGTAGTCGTTACACCACCTGTAAACAGACTTGTGACAATGTTTTGCTGGTCGGCCCAGAGTAGATGATAACGAATACAACTGACCATTGTTTCGTGATCACTGAAAACGCAAGCAATCTTGTCATATTTTTTTGTCAATCTGCGATATTTTGTAGTGTGGTTGCAGAATATAAATACAGTATCAAGTTGGCGAAGTGAATGGATCTCCCAGAGAACGTTATCTGCTCCATCGCCGGAAAGAATGAGAAATATAGATGAAGATTCTGCCGATTTGATCGTGTCTATCATTGCGTTGCTATCGGCATAGAAACTTACCTTATTGGCACTTTGTTCTAGGGAATCCTTCGTCTTTTTTGTATGGGCATCGTTCAGTAGAATGTTTGCATCAAACCAAATGACTTCCATACATGTATAAAGATCTGTTTGTTTAGGAATAACGTAATGTTCATGTGGTTGTCGGCATTGATGAGCTCGTAGCTGATAACCTAATGAACGCAATGTATGTAATGATTTAGGTGAGAGGTAGTATGCCACATATACTGTAAAATAAGTCTCAACCGAGTATGTCACCGGTAAAGGCTGGTCTGTCAATAAACGGCACCCATTTAATGTTATGAAGGTGTGAGCACAACTTCCCATATATTACGCAACATTTTTTAGTTGTAGAATATATCCATTATCGCAGTACAGCATTGGGATAAAATTGTATCAATTCGCTATATCAAAATGAGTTTCTAAAACGGAAAATTTCTTAACAATTCATGGAAGGTAGAATACGACTTGTACCATTCAAGACTGGCTCTTACGTACATAAAACGGAAAATTTCTTAACAATTCATGGAAGGTAGAATACGACTTGTACCATTCAAGACTGGCTCTTACGTACATAAATCGAATCATACCTTACCTTTTCTTATAAGAGGAAATATTTCAAATAGTTGTTCAAACCATCGTGAAAAAGACCTTGTATTCTACATAAAGTTGAGATTTATTCCAAACAATCTTGGGGGTGTGGATACCTCTTTTTCATCTTCATTGCTGGCCGCGCGTACAGTTACTCACACCCACCCTTTGTGCAAAATAAACATCATATTCGAAATCAGCGTGAAAAAATGCATCAAAAACAATATTGTTTATTCTAAAATATTTCCTATTGAAACATGACCCTGCTCGTCATCAGGTTTTATTTATTAAGTTTTTCGCTGTGATCCTACAGATCAAATTTCGATACGATATATTTTAGAATAAACAATATTGTTTTTGATGTTTCTTTTGCATAAAACGTATCTTAAGACGATCAAAATCTCAAAATACTACCCATTTTTAAGTATTTTTCTGTATTTTTCATGACCGAAAAAGAGATATATACCTTCCCGAAATTTTTTTATAATTCTTGAAGCAGAAAAGATACAGACCTGGGCTTTGCGTAGAATTTTAGATCTTGATTCGGGCGATCGATTGCAATAATTAAAACTTGAAGCTCATCATGCCTCCCCGACATGATAATTTTTCAAGCGTACTTACAAAAACGCACTATGGTAAGTCCTACCAAAACGCTTGGCTATCCAATAGTATTACGTCCCGTATCACGATGTATTCAAGGGTGAAAACCGCAGGTGTCTATGATGTTCCCTTCAAACGTTATAAGCATTTTCGTGAATTGCCTTTTTTTCAAAAATCGATATAAGTTCTTCGTGATCAGCAGCTTATGCTCTATCAAACCATGTGCAAAAAAAAGAAAAAAATTCACTTAAAATTTTGCATTGTCTGCATCTTATATTTCTTCTGTTCTTCGTTCTCGTATGTTAGACAAGGGAATACTACCGTTTGAAAAAAGGAGTCTGCCATCATTTTCTTAAAGAAAAAGAAAGAGAACGACCACAAGTCTTACTCCACATCCACACGCTCAGTGGTGCTTTTTTTAATTTTACTTTGCTTTACTAAGTAAATATAAGACAAACCACCGTCTCTTTGCCTGATAAAGTCAGCAATTCAAATATAACGTCGGCGAAAACAAACCAAAAACATTTGGCAAACTAAGAAAAAATCAGTGTATACAACATATTCTACTTGAATCCTTGATCAATTAAGAACAATTGTAAAGCAAATATGACCACTTCAGAAGAAACAACAGTGTTAACAAAATATAGCTTCAACCAGACGACGTATCCGTCAAAATTATTTACTCATTTGGGTCGATGCAGACATCGATGAAAATAATGATGATTTTCGAAATATATTAACAGAATTGCGTAAAGTTGTTCCAGAGGTGAAAACTTGTCGAACATCGGAACAATGTATAGAATATCTAAATGGAATGGTTGTAGATAAAGCTTTCGTCATTTCATCGGCAGCTTTAAGTCAGCATTTACTTTCAGGGTGTAAGTGTGGGTGTGGGTGTGAGGGTAAGAGTGAGAGTGAGTTGAGGGAATAATGACATCTATACCCACACCCACCCTTACTCTAGCTAGCGTGTGGGTGGATATAATGTAAATATGATACCCACCCTCAAGATGGTGAAAAGGTTAATAAAAAAAATTAGTTTTATTATTGAAAGTGAAGAGTCATGATTAATACAGTTATTCTCATATTTTTTTACGATTTATAGTTCAAGATTGACTTTTTTTATTGAGCACTTTCATTTTCTTATGTATCGATGTAGATAATCCTTCTTCTTTTCGATCATTGGAATTTCGCCGCTTTTTTTCATTAGTTTGTTTGTGTAATTCACTAATCAATGGTTGTCCACAACGACAATATCCTCGATTGAATGCAGACAAGCAAACTCCTTCATAACTACCAGAAAATTGTCGAAATAGTGGAATTTTCGTTGGTGCTTTAAGAAGTGCATTCTGCGCCTGTCCAAGCTTCGATTGATTTTTATCCTTTTGAAAGCAAATTAAAAGAATTGAATTTAATCGAAGTCACTTCAATATTGTCTTACTTTTAAATATTCATTGTACAATTTGATACTTGCTTTTGCATCATTTTTAGCTACATGACCTCCCACAGCATTCAGATCAATGTTTAACAGTACATATGCTTCATGAACTAAGGAAAAGTACCTTCGAAAGGGAAATTAAATATAGGCAATGAAATCTGGCTACATATATTTAATTGCTCACTTTTTACTGCCATATTTAGGATCAAACGTGGTAAATTCATCATCCAGTTCAATAAGACTGTTGTAATGCACACCTTGTTCAAGTTTCATCCATTCGATATCACTCATAACCGATTGACCCACAATCAAAGTAGTCGGCGTAAAAAATGAATGCACCTAAAAACGGTATCAGTATAGAGTTTAAGTATTTGATATTTATGAATTACCTTTTCAAGTACTTCGTCGAAAGATGGAGCATCCCGAAGCTCAGCTGTGCGTACACCACTGAAGGGAAGCAGGTCACTGACAACAGGTTTATCTGGTTTGATCAATGAATTGAAGATGATCTCACATCGATCATTGACAATAGCTACACAACATGGTGCTCGATCCAAATGTGAATATCCTGTGGCAACACATCCAACATCAATCGAGAGTATTTGACATAACTGACTTGAAGGGGACTTATTGCTTGATGACTTCTCCGAATCGTTAGTTAGTTGAATAAGAACATCTAAATTTCTTACAGCACGAATTCTTTTTCTTTCTACTTCAACATCGTTATGTTTGCGTGTTGCGTCCACAATAGTGGGTATTTTATTCATGATACCAACTGTCTTTTATCACCACAATTTCTTGATAAATAAATCTTTTTCTCCGCAATATAAAAACTATAATTCGATACTGTACCAAGTGTTATACTTGTTAAAATCTGTTTGACTTCAAATGGTGAAAATCATGACTTTTTATCTCGTTGTTACTGAAAGTTATTTTAAAATACCCACTCGTTCTTTTTTATTTTGAAAGGAGCAACAAAATGTTTGCTCATTATAACCGCTGCTCACTGGGGAAAAAATAGACGGTAAAAGAGCTTAATTATTGCTCGACAGAAGAAAGAAAAAGAAACCATATCTTTGTCTTTTTCATAACGACATGGCAGAAAAAAAAGAAAGTCGTTTTTGATAAGAAATAAATATTAGCTTTTGTTTCTGTTTGAAGAAGAGAAAAAAGTAAGTCCTACTCAAAAAGAAAAGTAATCGAGTTAAATGAAGTAGTTATTTCTTCTTTATTGTGTTACAATGGGTGAAAGGTATATATTATTCGCAATGTTGAACGAATATGAATATATCAAAAGTACTGAGGGTGCGGGTGGATGTGAGTGTCTTTTTTATGTCACATCAGCATGCACAGTGTATATGTTGAGGGTGTGGGTGTGTATTTGGTTTTTCATTAAAACATTCACATCCATACCCACACTTACAAGATTATCGACTGGAATAGAGTGGCATTCAAAGCAACAATGATGCAAGAATCAAAACATGCTGAACTAATCGATTGTATCGCATGCTATAAATTGATCAAAATTATTTAAGATAATAAAAAGATATATATTTTGTAGAGAATTTCATAAGGAATATTTCTCACAAAATACTGAGAGGCCCATTTATTATACACCATTCGTTGCAATAAAATGATCAAACGCAACATCTTATGAATTCGATCAATAAATCGAAACGTTGTTTGTTAATTATTCATCAAATTGACTTTATTCAAAACATCATAAGTAAACATTTTTTGCATGGTTGTATTCTATATCAGATCAGAAGAAAAATACTTGTTCTTCACTGAGTACTTTTTTCATTTATATTTACTTTGAGATAATTATTCTTTTCAATCACGAAACCTCTATTTTTTATATTAAAAACTGATTCTGTTTGGTTTTGAAATATAATTTATAATCAATGTTAGTGAAGCTGTACATATCGATTCGATTGTTTAATTAAAAATAAATTTCGTTATAGTATTGTTGAAATAAATATTGTCAAGCAAGCACAAGTAGCATTGTAAAATGATACAACAAAGAAAAGCAAGTATTGTCAGAGTTCGATGTTATCAACGATCACTTGATAATAATGTGAGTTCTTTTGTATTAAATCTTCTTATTCTATTAATCTTTTGAATTCAATAGCGTATATATCCACCAATTAAAAAGAAACGATCGAATACTGCGATTCATATTACTATAGGATCATCGCGGCAAATTCGTCCGACTAAGAACAATTTACATTCGGTTTGATTTTTATGAAATTGTCTCTTATATGAAAAAGTTCTTTTGTATCTAAATAGATCTCAGATACAGAAAGAAAAAAATCAATTACGACAAATAAATCATCCGAACATTTTGTTAGTGTTACCAACATAAATCGCCAACATCGTTCTCGTTTACAAGTAAATCTTTGCACAAAAACTTAGTATATGTCGGTAGTTTTTGTTTTACACTATAGTCAAATGGAAATATCATTGGAAGTGATAGTTCAACAAAAAGATCCTCATTACAAACTAATGACTCTACAAAAACCAGTCATCAATCGAAACATTCTAGAACAACTCATCACGAAGTAACGTACAATACATCTTTTACAACACATAATAATAAAATCTTCTTTAGAATACAACTACTGATTATAGCACGGTACGAGTATCTTTTTTTTTCTTTCTAAAACTTTTTTTTTAATTACAAAAGAGCATAAAGGATCGATCATATCAAAAAGGTATGACGCAAGATTATCATCGGAAATCTAAAAAGAATAAAAAGACAAAGTTAGTATTGCATCAATAGTTTATAACTAACGAAATGAATCTGACTTTTTAATATAAGATGTTCACGTCGATGTATAATTATGTCTTTACTTATTACTGCACTTCTTATCTTAATCGTTGCTACTATTTTACTTGTCCTCTTGATTAAACCTAAACAAGTAATAACACCAAGTAAGATTAATTTCCATTCATAATTTGTACTATTGCAAAAAAGCATCTTGTTTTACAGCAAACATGCCCGTACTTCGTTGGAACTCAACAGGCGTCACTGTCGCCGGAATAAGTGGAAATGCAAGTTCTGGTAGCAATTATCTCAATAGACCATTTGATGTAACATGGGACTACGCAAATAATCTTTATATTGCTGATCGAAATAATAATCGAATTCAAAAATATTTATTCGGTACCACAAACATTACGACTGTGGCTGGAGATGGAACACTCGGTCCATCTTCATATCAATTACATTATCCATCACGTGTAATATTTGACTCGAACGGAAATCTCCTTGTAACAGATTCAGCGAATCATCGAATTCAGTTGTGGCCTAGTGGTGGTATTTCGGGAACAACAATTGCAGGCGTGACATGTAAGATGAAAATAATAATAGATATGCTTTTCTATAAAGAGATCTGTTGTCGACTGGAAAAATTATCATACCTATGTGTATTATTCTAGTTGAGATTGATTAAGAAAACTGACAAAAATATTCTATTACACATTTATAGTATGAACATTTTTCTTAGATTCTGCAGGAAACTCCAGTACTCAGTTAAATACTCCATATGGTATCGTGTTGAATCCAATATCAGGTGCACTTTATATATCGGATTCCATGAATCACCGTGTCGTCTCTTATGCATCCGGTGCTAATTCTAGTACATTATTATTGGGTGGTAATGGGGCAGGTGCATCTAATATACAATTAAATAATCCTGTAGGTTTACATTTTGATTCATTTACGAATAGTTTGATCATTGCCAATTTTGGTGGTAATAATATTGTTCAATATGTATTAGGTGCAAATAATTGGACACTTCTTGCTGGCGATATTAATGGAGTTTCAGGAATGACATCAACAACTTTGAACGCTCCTACTCAAGCAGTATTTGATCCTATGGGTAATATGTATGTTGCTGATAGAAATAATCATCGTGTTCAGTTCTTTTATAAAGGACAGTTAAATGGCACAACTATTGCCGGTGTAACAAGCACAAGTGGTAGTAGTGCCACTACACTCAATACACCTTGGTCTTTAAAACTTGATAATCAACTTAATTTGTATGTGGCAGACTCACTTAATCATCGAATACAAAAATTCTCACGTTATTAATTCAATCATACATTTGCTGTATGTTCCACTAACATGTTTTTTTCTTTTTCAAAATTTTCCTATTAACGACTATAATATACTATGAGGGTGGGTGTGGGTGTCAGCTTTCTCCTTTTGCACATCGATACTCACATTCACACCATAATTCCAGTGTTTGAAAGAATTTATTAATTGATAAAAATACAAAAAATTCAAAGAAACATGATATACTTTATCAATCGTTCATTCAGTTACAATCATTATAACTTCTATATTTTAATCAATTTCAAATTTTTGTACTCGATAATTGTCATTATCACCAACATAAAGATTTCCCTGTTGATCGAATGATACATCTACTGGATGACTGAGCTGACTTGTTTGTTCTCTCTGACCATTATTCTCACCAATAATAACGCTACCTTTTGTTGTCCCATCTAAATAACGCATTATTCGATGATTACCACAGTCTGCTACATAGACAGTACCTAATTGATCAACGATTATTCCATAAGGTCGTGACAATTGTGTCAAACTATTTCCTTCACCTTGTCTCCCAGCAACAACAATGCCTTCTTTTGCACCTTGCAACCATTTCATCACGATGATTCTCACAATCTGATACGTAAACTGAATGATCTTGATCGACGAATATATAATAAGGACGATTGAGTTGATCAAGACGATTACCATTGCCATTTCCACCTGCTACTAATGTTCCATGTCTATCTCCTATTTTCCATCGTGTTACTTCATGTTTACTTATGTCAGAGACATAAAGATAATCATCATTATCCATAACTAAATCCCAACAGGCAATATTTAAAATGATTGTTTCTCCACTTGTACCATTTCGACGAGGCCAACGTACAA